AGATTTTGTTGCTTAGTAACTTGTTATTACGTTATTCAATTGTCAGATTCAGTCAATTAATTAATTAATTGACAAAAACAAATCGACTGTAACAATAATCATTAGTTGGAGCCCTGCTCAGATCAGGTTGTGTTTCCATGCTGAACTGAGTGTAACGATGCTCTTGGCTCTGCTGTCCGCCCACACACACACACACACACACAAACACACGCACGCGCGCGCGCGCGCACACGCACACACACAGACAGAGCCCAGATCTAGTAATCTGTGAAGATGAGCGAACGTTAAATGCTGCCTAATTAATGAGCCTGGGTGCTAATATAAGCCCCAGACAGACAGTTTAGGCTTAGCAACCGTTGCTACGGGGCAGCTCGTTAGTTAAACACACACATACGCACACACACAGCCACGCACCTGTAACCAAATACACTACCGCCATAGAGGATAGCCTCACAAGGAGCGGACACCAACCTTTTTATCCGAGCTAACTAGAAAGCCAACACTTTCTAGTTAACCGTTAACACACGCACAAAGTTAACCTCCCCACTTGACCGTTAGCAGGCTAATTAGCTAACTAGCCTTTACTAGGTTAAGCCATTACAGCAGCTACTGAACACAACAGAACGTCACTCGCTGTTAGCTACTCACCGTCAGCAGCCGTTAGCTCCAGAGGCTACTCGAATTGTCCGATTAACCCAACGGCTGGTCAGTTAACTGTTAGCCAGTTAACCAGTTAACTGGTTATCGTTGGAGCAGAGCTGGGCTAGTCGTGAGGGTCCTCTTGAAGACTGAGCTCACTGTCGGCGACACGCGGACCGTGACAGGCGGAGCTACGTCAACGTAAACAACAGGTCATTTATTCCGCGGTCACGTGACCCGACACCGAAATCACAACAGGTGTCAAAGATTACCTGCAAGGAGGGGAGACTGACACCGATTTTATACCAGGGCGCAAAAACAGCAGAATACTTAGGAAAAGTCTGTTAAAATGTATGTAAAGCAATAAGTACATTTACTCAAGTACTGTAGGGTACAAAGTATAATTTTGAGGGATTTCTTCTTTTCTTGATTATTTCTAAATTATAGCAGAGGTGGACAAAGTCCACAGCTCCATTAGGTACTTGAGTCACAGTGTAGATCCTCCTGGTCAAATATTACTTCAATGCAAGTGAAGGTTTTTACTTGAGTTAAAGTAGGAGTATTTGTTTTTGTTTTATTTAGTTTGCACAATTTAAAATACACAGAAAATAACATAGAAAACTGGTGTATGGTCTATCACATTTTAGAAAATAAAATACATTTGACAGACAAAAAGCTGCTTTAAAGTAAGACTACTTCATAGAAATACAGTGGAGTCAAAAGTACAATATTGGTCTTTTGTAGTGGAGTAAAAGTTGTAAGTTTAAAAAAAACCAAAAACATAACAGTAGTAGTACAGATACTGGAAAAAAATACACTTAGATACAGGACTCAAGTAAATGTACTTCATCACTGTTCATTTGTAGCTTCCACTTCAGTGGAGGAGTGATGGAGAGTTAACTTGTGAGGAGGCCAGATGGGATTTTCTGGGCGGGATTCTAGTTTTCTGGCAGGAAGAGGGAAGAAACAGTCGACAATCCCTGCAGAGTTTCTAATTAAAAACAAATCAGTGACATCTTTTGTGACCATGTGAACAAACTGTGAATTCTAGTTAACTTACACTTTTTTACACTGTTTCTTTTCCAGTTTGAAGTAGCTGGTAGTTTGTGGAACTAAACTGTGTTATAAACTGTACTATTCCTGTAGGAAGAGTGGGATCAGTATTTTTGATGTGCCCAAATAGAGATAAGAGAAAGGCTGGACTAACACCTGCTCTGAAACTCTTCCTCAAAATCCAGGATGCTGTGTATCATAATAAAGAGAAAATCTAGATAATTATGAGATATTTTTTGGTAATACTTTCTCAGTTGGTCCAGATTGAAATATCTCAACGAATGTTTGATGTTGGGCTGTAAAATTAATAAAAAATAATATTGAAATCACAAAATGGCCAAGTGCAATATCTAAATCGCAAGAGCTGCAATTATTTTTGATAAAGGTAAAATGTGTCACAACAGACCATAAATTAAGCATTGTGGTGTTACAGAGAGACCCCTGAGAATATGCTTTTTTGTGACATGGTGGAACAAAAATCACATGATCATCATTTTTATATTTTTTTCAATGAAAATAAAATTCAAAAATTAAATTCTTACCAAAATCGTGAATCATATTGGAACATCTGCCAAAATAATCACAATAAAAACATTTTTGCATGTCGTTCAGCCCTAGTTTGATGGACATTCATGGTGCCCAGAGGACGAATCCTCCTGACCTTTCATCTACCAGCAGGTGCAGACTCAACTGCACTTTGTGCTCAGCGCTACTATACTTGATGATGAAAACACTCTGAAAACACATGCCTATGTTCAGAAGTAGATTGTATTGCTCCATTAACACTACAAATAATACAAAGTCTCTCAAATTACTTAATGTCTCTGCCACACACATCTCTGAACACTCTGATCCTGGGGTCCAGGGACTCCCAGGGGTCCTAGAGGGGGTTCTTGGGGGTCCCCAGCAAAAAGAGGAATCATTTAATTCCTTCCATAAGTAACAAAATTGCAGAATGTATGACTGTTTTGGTCATGGATTTAAACACTTTATAATAAAACATCTAAAAGCTAAAATCTTATCATACGGTGGTCTGTGGTCTGATTTATGTCTCTTTAGGGTTCTTGGTGTGAAAAAAGTTTTGAACTATCCAACAGTTTTGTGTCTTGAGCACAGTATCAGAGAGCCTCTAGTGTAGCTGTAGACTCTTGTAGACTTTGCTAAAAGTCAGTCTTTTCTGTCCATGGCTGACATGGACACCCTCATCGGAACTTCTGTTTAAACTGGATTAGACTGTCACTATTTTTAGGCCTGCTTCATGCTGCTGTCAGAAACTTTCAAACAGCTCAGAGACTGCTGCTGTGATTAAAACTAAACCTGGAAATAAGACCAGGGGGGTTCAACCTCTGGGGAGTAAGATTATCAATGTTCATAATAAAACATGAAGTAATGGCTGTTGCTAAAGTTAGACTGATGGATCGACCAGTGCAGTCATCCCTACAGCTACAGAGCTTACGTGGCTAAAAGAATTGGAAAATCCATATTTAGGCTTTTGCTCAATGGACTGTACAGTGTGGGGGGAGGGACCACTGTTGCCAACACACACACACAAAGCACCACACACACACACACACACACACACACACACACACACACACACACACACACACACACACACACACACACACACACCATAAGGGAGTGTCCTGGTGGTCTGTGAACACACAGCGAGACCATCTGGGGCTGACTGGACCTGCCTATGGTACAACAACCAAATACAATACTTCACAGTATAGAAACATACAACAGCCTCATGTTGAAAAACAGAGATGTGTGCACAATCAGTGACACACAAACACACTGCACCACCCAGACCCAGACATTGACTACATGACCAACTCTTCATCCATCTGACCTGATCGGTCCTGATACATTTCTCATTATGTGTCTGAGTTTATGTTCAGAATCCTTTTCCTTAATCTATTCAGGGAAAGAAAGACATTGACAAACAGCAGAGGGCCCTGAATGTTTACAATGTCTGGCTCTGCTCCTGCTTTGTGTCCTTTTTTTTTTTGTTTTTGGTCTAATTATACAAAATTTATATGAAATATGAACAAAATAATGTTATTAATAATAATAAAATGTCCTTTAAAGCCTGATTTACGGTTTCCTTAAAATGAAAACAGTTGCACAAAACACCCTTATTTTCACCTTTAAGGTTTCCCTAAAATGTGTCACTTAAAGTCTGTTAAACCGTTGCACATAAGACCTCAGCAACCAAAGTAAGGCAAAAACTAAATTTAACTGCAATATGACCAGGTTTATGGTGATAAATGAAGAAAATGAACACATCCCAGTAAGATGATGATGATGTTCCACGACCGGGAGACGACACAGTAGAATTTTACCGCTGTAAAATCTCTTTCACTGCTGCAAATGCCTTAACTTTTTTCCTGAACAAAGGCAACCTTTTAAGAGATTCTGTGAAACAGCTTTAAGTAACTCCCTTAGCTGAGGAGAAATTAAAGTGTCATTCTTAAGCAGAAAACTTAAGGTGCTTTATGGAGCCAGCCCCCGGTTAGAGCGCTGGATGATTCAGTTGTTTGGTAAAATTTGACACAAAATGTCTTAAATGTGACACATCCACACAGTGACTGGAATTTAATCACTTTAATCAAACTTTGAACTCCTCAGAAAAATCTTCTTCATGCTTTAATCAAGAGTATGAAAATAAACAAGAAAACTTTCACTTCTGACTCTGAAGCTCCATGTGTGTGAACTTGTGTTGCTGGTTCTCACCAACTCGAACAAAATGATCACATGACCAATCATGTGTTTGTCTTCAGGTGTACCAGATTAACAAGATGCTGCTGTAGGTTTCCGATAGTCTGAACTCAGACTCGTCCCAGTTGATCACAACAAATCTGAAACTGGGGTGAACTGGTGATCAACCAGTTGCACCAGCAGCAAACACTGTGATGAGCTTAACACACATCAGGAGAACTTGTACTAGAGTGTAAGGGCCACTGGAGATTTTGAGAATAAATTTGTTGTTTTTAGGAAATAGTCACGTAGCAAGACATTTTTTTTGGAATATTATGAGACATAAGTAACATCCAGAAAAGTTGTGATTTCACAACAACGGTTAAAGGTCCCAAACAGTATAACGGTAGATGTCCATGTCTTTTGATTATAAAGCAGCCTCTCGTGTGATTGGCTCACTGACCTGTTGTTACTAGAGCTCCAGAGAGAGACTGAGAGAGGAGATGGTAAACTACATTGAGATGGTTTTTGGTTCTTAAAACCACAAATATATCATCCTATGGATCAACACTTCAAATAAAATGCAGGGAAAGTGTAAAATATGGGACCTTTAATCACTTTTTCTTGTACTATTTTAACTTTTTTTCTAAAAATTTCAACCTTTTTCCTCAAATATTTTTTCCAGAAATCTCCAGTTTCCCCTCAAACTCCACTGTAGATTCATTACTAATCTCTCTATCAAAATAAATCTGCAGCATTATACAGTTGACTTCTTGTATAAGAGTATAAAACATTCAATTTGACATATTTACATTTTAAATTGTTTTTGTGTCACAATGGATTATGGTTTTGTTAATTTTATTGAAAACTATGCGAAAACGTATTACAAGCCAGCTGTTTTTACTGAAGGCCATGATATGCTGCTGAAAGCTCAGAAACACTGCTACAATAAGTGAACCTTGTGCGCTTAGAATATTTTGTTATTGTTCCCAAAAGACAAGAATGAACTTTCATGCTCTGTCTTCAATGACTCCTTTGTCTCAGAAAGACATAAAAAAAATCAAAAGCTTGGATATGAATCTGCTTCAACCAGAAAAACAAATATGAACAAAGAAGGTGAGAGAACGGCACTGAACTGTGCTTGAGACAAAGACAGGTTTAAAGTTGATATCCCACAAATCTTTCAGTTGATAAGTCTTATGTAGATTTAGCTTATTAAGGAAAGCTGTAGACATTCTGCTTTAAGTCTGTGTGACATATCTGTGTTCAAAATCTGACATCGCAGATTGTACCCACTAACAACTGTCCTCTCCTTTCTTCAGAACTTAATTTGAATGACCTATCACCTCTGGAAAGGACAATGACATGTGCCAAGTTATGGATCTCAGCTTTAAGATTCTCACTCCTGCCTCACCCGCTCGCACCAGCGCTTAATAAGCTGAAAATTTTCAGCAAAGTCAATTAACTTCTGTGCAATGAACACAATTACTGAAGGAGAGGATTAAATCCTCCTGAAGTTTGTACATCAACACTGAACACTGACTCACAAATTCATCACACAAACTGTCCTCTGAGCGAAAAGAGCTATTGGTGCTCATTAGCTCTTAATGAACCTGAACTACTCCACGGCAGAGGAACGTCCATGCTACAAATATGTCTTTTAAGTCCACCGTGTGAAGTTATTTTCACATCAGCGACTGAGCTAACTAGCTTGTTATGCAACAGTTTATGCTAGTAAACAGTTAGCAAGCTAGTTAAAGCTAAATTCCCCTCTTTATTAACTGGTAACTGACTGAAATGAAAAACAGGGAGTAAACAGACTGGTCCAGAGAAAACAGGAAGAAGCTCAAACAGCTGTTATGACTGACCAGTGCTAACACAGCTGGTGTGTTAGCAGTCTCAAAGCTTTTACAGCTTAATATTTCACAATAATGTACAAATGAATTTTACTGCAGCACTCTTTGCTGTGACCAGAGTTTTTTTTCTCTTTTTTACTTAAAAAATATAATAACTTTTTAAGTAACAAAGAAAAAATATTCTCAGCATAACCAACTTTAGTACAATTTACAAAACACTGAACTGTTAAAAGCATCACTGTAGAAATCTTTAGACTTGTGTTCTACCCAAATCCTTTCTGTGTGTTTGTCAGCTGTTACTTTTCACTCAGCAGGAGGTTCGTTAGTCCGGACAGCTGCTGGAAGATGATGTATGACACCATATCATGTTCAGTCTGAACTCAGCTGTAACTTTTGTCTGATGTTACACATGTTCCTGATTACATGGACAGTAGTTAATCAGAAACCAAATCCTAATGAATCAATTGTTAATCAAACCTGTCATCACCACAGACTGTGTGGTTGGACACTGTATGGAGTCCTGCTGGAGGCGGTACAAAAATCACCTGTTCACTTTATAAAAATGTCGCCCCTTTTTCGCTGTCTTGTTGCAGTGCACCTCTTCTCCACCAGAGGGGATGCTGTCCTGTGACATCACAGTTTTCCCTCTGGACTCAGAGAGAACCGCTCCGCGACTCACTCTCGACAAGTCTGCCAGGTCCTGAGCTGGCCTCGTCAGTCAGTCAGTCTGTCTGTCCGTCTGTCCGTTTGCTCCTATTGGCTAGCAGTCACTCGCAGGATCAAAGGTCAGGGATCAGGGATGAGGGAGTAGAACTGTCAGCGGTGGATCGAAAGGCGTCTCACAGTGCAGAGGTCGCGCAGCAGCCGCTTGATTCGCTGTTTGAGCTGTGGCAGTCGGGATAAAGGGTCGGGAGGCTCGAGCTCGCCCGAGTGGTCCAACCAGGACTCTAACACTGGAGAGAGGGAGGGAGGGATAGAGAGAGAGAGAGAGAGAGAGAGAGAGAGAGAGAGAGAGAGAGTGTCAGAGAGAGAGAGAGGGTGAGTAATATGATATGAACCCTTACCACTAAAGGAGGCAGAAGAAAAACTACATCTACTGACAAATACTCTAAGTTGGAATCACTGCAACTGTAAATGCCCCCTGATCGAAACTTTGCATCAATTCATTTTGAAAGAGGAACAGCCAATAGGGAAACTCCAATTCAATGTGGTTCATGTGGTATTTGGTTGAACAATGGTGGAAATATGATCACTCAACTATGATCAGTCAGATCAGTCAGTCACAGACATCTGTGATTATAGGGCTGGCCCTCCTGGTGCAGTCCAGCCAAAAAGACTTAATATGGACTCCTCCCATGTTTTCCAGTGTTACTAAATAAACATGGCAGTGTATGTGTGCGTGTGTGTGTGTTACCATCAAGCTCTCGTTCTATCAGGTCCATCCTGGCACTGATCTGGTGGTGCAGAGACTCGACGTGCTCCAGCAGGTTCAGCTGACACTCAGCAGCAGACGCCGGACGAGGCTCGGTTGTGTGCATCTGAATGTGGGTGTGTTCCTCGCAGTCCGTGTGTGTGTGCTTCTCTGTTTTTATGCTGGTGTCACTGTGTGTGTCCATGTGTGTCACAGTGTTTCTGTCATCATCTGTCGTAGTGTCAGTCACTGGCTTGCTGACGTCTTCAGGTTTTATTTCCTACAGAAACACAGATTCTATGTTTTAGTGAAGACAAGGAGACAAGTGTGTGTGTGTGTGTGTGTGTGTGTGTGTGTGTGTGTGTGTGTGTGTTGGGGGGGGCACAGTTCCCTCTGTCCGGCATTGATCTGTGAAGCTGGCTTCATTGTGTTCACACTCATAGAGCACTAGGAGGTAAAAATAGTTTCACATTTACCACAATGAGTCCAGAGCCTCAAACTGGTTTTCAGTGGTCTCATAGCAACAGCAGGAGCCTGTTTAGTGCTGCAAATATGAAGTTCAGCATCTCCTAAACGTTCCTCTGCCTCTCTGAGATCAGCTGTTTTTTTTTGTTTTACACCACACCCTTTGACTTCATACATCCCTCCATCAGTCACCTGTGCTTCACATAAACTAGACACAGTTTTTATTCAGAGGAGTAGGTGAAAACCATATTTAATTAAAAGCCAGGTTGAAACGGTACGTTTTCAGGTTTATGTTTAGGGATTTCAACACTACCGGCTGTTCTCAGGTCCTCGGGGAGACTGTTCCATCGGCATACAAGCTAAAAGCCTCGCCAAAGGTTTTAGGAAGAAGCATGAACCTTACGACTGAGTAAACACACTAGACAACACACCGAATCACTGCTCAGTAACTACTGAGACGGACCCACAAATCCACCGATGACACCACCGGCCACGTGTTCTAGGATGATAGGGTTGTGCCGATGAACGATGATATCCGTGATCGACGATGATCAGAGCGATCACTGATTGCTCATGCTTTTGCAAATTTCAAGACGATATTTCACTTGTTTTCCCATTAATGTAGTAAGTTATTATTTGTACTATTAAATTAATACTAAATTTAATATGCCTGCCAGTTTCACATATATAATCGCATATAACCAGTGGTTGCAACACGCGAGCACACACACACTGCTGATTGTAATGAAGCTGCTTGTTGTGTGTAGGAGCTGCACTGATTTCAGAGCAGAGGAGATCGACAGACAGACAGAACATGTCATTTAGTTAAATTTCTGGCTGCTTTTTATGGTGGTAAATGGAAATTCAATGAGGGAGAGAGGCAGCAGAACGGTTCATTTCAAGATGTTTTGGATCTGGAACTTCTTCCTCCTCATCTCTCCCTCCCTCTGTTTCCTTCTAGAAGTGTGAATGCTGTGTTTGGTTTTGCAGCTTGCGTGTTTGTGTAGTCTGTCATCGTGGTGGAGAGGAGGTCATGTGGCTCGGGTCTGTTGGTGACATTTGAGGATATATGTGTGTGTATATGTTGTCATCCTGATTGTCCACATTGTAAATCTATGTTGCTCTATTCTGTACGCACAACATCTGTTTCCTGTCTGTCTGTCCTGGAAGAGGGATCCCTTCTGTTGTTCTTCCCGAGGTTCTTTCCATTCTTTTTTTCCTGATCCCAGTTGAGGGTCTGAGGGGCTGTATGCTGTACAGTTTGTAAAGTCTCCTGAGGCAGATTTTGATCAGTAATTTCGGGCTTGATGTGATACTAAACATTGTGTAGGCTATATCTGTCTAGACACTGACACTGTCTGAAGATAACACATTATCAGAATTAAAATATGAGGGTTCACGATGACAGAAACTTTGTAATTTTATCAAATCTGACTCAGACATGGAGCTTTTACCTTCTGCTCAATGTCGTGTTCCTGCTTCACTGCAGCTGTTTGCCTTTCCTTCTCTCTCTCCTCTGCTTTTTCCCACGATGCTCCGGGCTTCTGGTAGCAGTGCTCGCTGCTGACGTAACAGACGGCAGGGTCTCCTCTTGGGCTGGATGTCAATCTTGGCCCATCTTCCCGTCTCCATGGCAACCTCCACAGCTGCAGATCAGGGTGTGAGGGGGAGCTGTGCGGACAGACACATAGACTGACTGAGAATACGTCTCTGTGGACAATAACACATAAACAAAGTCACTGCTGTAACTGAACTCACTGCAACAGGCTGATTTTGAGCTGCAGCCCACTGAGGACCTGATTGAGGCCATGTATGTGTGCCAGCAGGCGGCTGGTGTGTGTGATCTTGGAGGCGTTGATCTCAGAGTAGTTCTCCTTTACGCACGAGAGGCCAAACATGTGACCAGAGATCAGCAAATCCGGCTCTGAAAGGAAACGCTGGGCCCGCCTCCAACCTGAACATGAGTGTTAGAAATCATAAAACAAAATATACTTCACACACGAGTTCATCATTATCAACATCACTGACCAACTATAAATCTGGGACCACAGTATCACTAATACAACATCTTAATCAGTTTAAGCTAAACTGACTTGACTTCTCTGACTGGTTTGAATTCAAAACAACTGCACTGTTTTATACTGAGAATGTTCATACTCTTGTTACACCAACACAGGTGTTTTCACTTGGTTTGCGTAGCTACACGTCCTCTAATGGCACAGTCAGACCAGATTTTCCTTCCCATTTATTTCTATGTGGAGACACATTAACTTCATGAGCTGAACCGGCCTCCTTTGATTCACTCAGACTTCAGTCTGACTGAACTTCGTCTAGTTTCCAGCCAGTTTGACAGAATGGGCGAGACTGACCTCTCACTCAGGAAATGTTTTTGTTTATATTCTTGTTTTATAACTGGACAGAACCTGTTCAACGTGCTCCCATCATATTCATAACTGCATCAACACTCAGTGTTTGTCTCTGCCTGAAGAAAGTATTGATTTTGGGATTAGCAGAATCTACAGTCATGCTAGCAACTCTGGGAGGCTACTTTGAGCTAAATGCTAACAACAGCATGTGAACATGCTCACATCTTAATTTAGCATTTTAGCATGCTAACACTGGCTTGTACAAATGGACTGGCAGATTTGTAGATATTTGGTCAGAAACTTTAGTAACTGATGATGGCCCTAGATGAAAAATAAGAGGATGAGCAAAATGATTGCTTGCCATGCTTTTATCCACAACATAAATAAAAAAAATAAAAAAAATAAACTCTGGATTAAATGCAGCTGTAGTAGATCTGTACAGGTTTCAGCCTGAGCAGAGGTCTGATCAGTGAAGTGAAAACACCTGTGCGGATGCTTGGTGTAACCTTTTCTTGTTGAGTTGCATTGTGGGTAGCGAAGGCACTAGGTTTTAACACTGACAAGCAGGAATTCAACAGAAATATCTGGTGAAGGAATAAGTAATAAGTAAATGTATTATTGTCAGAACCCAGGGGAAGCATTAATGTGGTGATTCAAAGGCCAAAAATATTCTGTCTAAGGCTAAAGTCAAATGTCTTGGTCTGACTGATGCCCAACAGATGCGTTTCCCAAACAAAAGATACATCAGATATATAACTGTTTAAAACTGTTATAAACTATGAAGACTATGAACACTAACACAGGCTTGCGGAATATTATCATATTATAATATTAAATCCCAATATTTGAATATATTTAAATATTTAAGTGTCCTGACACACATACACACAGAGTCATACCTGCAGTGTGTCTGCAGTAGTAGCAGATGTAGTTATGTGGGACGTTGTCTTCATATAAACCCATACAGGTGCCGTGCTGCCAACATAGACACGACTCGCACTACAGAGAGACACACGCACGCACGCACGCACGCACGCACACACACACACACACACACACACGGCTGTAATTAATCCATCGCTGGGATCTGTGTTACAGATCTTCATAACTGAAAAAATGTCTTTCTGTATTTCTTCTGTGTTACCTGGATCATGAAGTCGTTCTCTTCGTCCACCTCACACACACACCTCACCACCTCACATTCCTCTGTCTCCATAGCAACAGGCCAAGAGGGTGTGTCCTCTCCACTCTCTGCTGTTAGCGTCGACCAGTCGCTGCCGTCATCAACTGAAAGCCGAAGGACGGAGGTTAGAGACGAGACACTTTTATATTCAGTATGGACACACCAAACTTATGCATTTTCACATAAAGAAGAAATACTATGCAGAGTTTCTGTGATGTGTGTGTGTATTCCCACCTTGTGTGTGTGTGTCGTGGTGTCCGGTGGACAGCTTCAGAGTGATCGGAGGTCTGTCTGAGTTCTCATCGTCACTGCTGCCGAGTCCTGATGAGAAGAAAAACACAATCCAGTGACACTGATGTGTGGTAAAGGTACTGTGTGAGGTGAAAGAGACACATGTATGTTGTTGTTCTGAAAACAACAGGAAGTTTCTGTAGTTTGTCCGGGCCTCTCACCTGACTGACTTTTCTTCTTCTTCTTCTTCTTTTTCTTCTTCTTTAGTTTGACCCTCAGGAAGTTCTTCCTGTCCTTTCTGTTCTGCCCTTCGGTTTTCTCCCTCCCTCCGTCCGTCCTCACTTCTGCTAACAGACAACAGGTTAGAAGGGTCAGAAAGAGTAATGTTGCTGTCTGAACAGTGAAGTTGAACTCATGCTAAACTTTAAAATACCTTATAATTAACCCAACACATTTAAACTTTAAGCAGGGCCTTGTATTTGAACAAAGATATGTTTTCTTTCTTTAAACATCAAAGATATATCAGATATCATTAGTTATCAGTCTTACATACTGTATGTGTGTGTGTGTGTGTGTGTGTGTGTGTGTGTGTGTGTGTGTGTGTGCGCACGTGTGCCCTAGTTGTTTGAGTTTTTATATGTGCATGTGTACCTGTCCTACCTGATCCCATGGTGCTGTGCTCCCTGTCGTCACGGTGACAGCTTATATTTTGGTTCTCATTCTTTCTGTCTGATATGAAGTCGCCTCCCTCAGAAGATGACCGCTTCCTCCTACAACAACCACAGTCAGTGCTACACACAACTTTCTTAATAGCTCCCATTCTGGGATTCGAACCATCAACCTACCGTGGCGCCTCCTGCTCGCTGCCCCGCTCGTCCAGCTGCTGGTCAGAGTGGTAGTACTTGATGTGGTAGTGGAGAAGACTTGCCTTCCTGAACGACTTGGTGCAGCCCGCTGCGGGACACTTGAAGGGGTTGTGGTCCAACTCGATGGAGAGGATGGGGGGAGGCTGGTTCTTTATCACTCTGTACACTGGGACAGGGAGAAGGAAGACAGTGAGTTCAGTGAGTCTGGGTTAGGAGCAGGTCTGGACATCAAACCTCAAAACACTTTTTGGTGCCAACCATAATGTCTCTGTAGCAGCATGTATAAAAAACAGTCAGGTAATGAAAGGCAAGGCAAGGCAAATTTATTTGTACAGCACATCATACACAAAGGTCATTCAATGTGCTTAAGAGAAATACTATAAGCTTAAATTAAAAGTAAAAAGCATAATAAGAAAACAATATAAAACAGTATAAAAACACAGATTATAAAAAAAAGATAATATCTCATTAAAGTGCAAGATTAAAAGATTAAATGAAGGCAGAGGAGAACAGAGCAGCTTTAGCATCTTAAAGCTAGTTATGGTTTGGGCAGATATTGATATCCAATGGGAGCTGGTTCCAGCAGTGGGCAGCATAATGGCTGAGAAACATTTCACCCTGTTTAGTTTTTACTCTGGGAACCACTAACTGACCAGCTCCTGCAGATCTCATATACATGGAACATTTCTGAAATTTATTTAGGGCACAGACCATTTAGTGACTTATAGACAATAAGTAAAACTTTGAATTAAACTCTCTATCTGACTGGAAGCCAGTGAAAACACCTGAGAACTGCAGTAATATGCTCTCTTTTCTTAGTTTCAGTCAGAACCCTAACAGCAGCATCTGAAAAAGCTGTTGCTGTCTAGTGGTCTTATTTGGTACCAGTGAGGACAGCACTGCATTATTAACTCTGGAAGATATAAAGGCATGAATGAGTTTCTCTAAGTCTTGGTTAGACACCAGGTCTCACTTTTTTTATTGCATTTTGTTTGTATGGTGTGTGACTTCACTTACATGGTTCTCTGCTGAATTTGTGTGTGGTGGGCAGGTGGGCCTGACGCTCCAACAGGACGTCTGAGAGAGAGGGGGAAAAAAGCTGAGGTTGTTGGTACTTCAGTTAGAGCAGTTATAAATGAAAGATGAGTCTTTTCTGAAAAACAGTATCTGAAATTCTCTGATGTTTACCTCTGTCAATGTGGGTGGGGTTAGGAACAGCTGGCTGGGTGGAGTCAGCTGTGATTGGCTGATTCTGAGCTCCACTGCTTCTACCTGTAGGAGGAGCAGTTAATTAACATCAGCAACATGACTGTAGACAATGAACGTGTTCCAGTTATCTGTTTGAAAAGCTGACTAAGCATACAAAGTCACATGCACAGATAAGCTTTAGGGCATTTGCCTCACCCATGATGCATTTCAACACTTCTGAAACATCAATTAACATGTGATGGTCACCGTTTTCTTTTTTTAAAGTTTAGGCAAATTACACATTTTGTCGATTTTTGAAGAATTATTAAAATGAGCTTCTTCAAATGCTGGGTGTCACAGATCATCTGACTTACTGTCATCTGTTTTCTTCTTCGCTGGTGGATGGGAGGATGAAGCTTCTGCCTTCCTCTTCCTCTCCCCCTCCTCCTCCACAGCTCCTTCATTCTCCTCTGATGTCACCTTCTCCTCTACCTCCTCTTCCTTCTTCTCATCCTCCTCTCTTTCTCCACCATCCTCCTCCTCGCTCTCCCCTTCCTCCCATCCCTCGCTTCCCACTGCACTCTTCTCAGATCTGGACTTCTGTTTCCACACACACACAAAAAAGAAAACGCTCTTAGAATGAAAGGAGCTGTGATTGGTGAAGCCAATCGCATAAGAACCAATGGGAGGTGAATAGTTCTTACTTCCTGGAAGGGTTTGACCTTGGTGGGCTTCACAGTCCGAACCACGCCGTCATAGAAACGCACTGTGTAAGAGTCTGACACACACACACACACACACAGAGTTTTCTTAAACATGTGATCCAGTTCATACAATTTTGAGTCATTTTTCAAGTCTCACCAGCATCACAAGTGCAAGGATTATTACTTAATTTTTTGTTATTTGTTGATTAGTTTTTCAACTAACAGATTAAACATTTTGTCGACAAAATGTTAGAAAACTGTTAAAATATCCATCAAAATTTCCGAGACACCACAAAAATATTAAATTTCAATAATAGAAATCAGAAGAAAAAGAAGGATCTTGACACTTTAAAAAAATAAAACAATTATTAAAACTGTTTGTTTTTCTGCCAAAGGACTGATGGACAAGTCAACAAATTGTTTCAGCACTAATGTACAGCAACATAAATTCATACTGAGCCTCACCGTCCTTGTTGACTCTGAGGATTTTGGCCGGGTAGAAACGACAGTCTGTCCAACAGGCCAGAACCTTCGTACCTGAGACAAACATCTGAGACAGCGAGAGAGAAAGAAAAATAAAGTCCAAGAAAGAAACCAGAGGAGCACAGACTGACATCTTAACATGCGCAAAACCTTTCAAAACATTCAGACGTATGAAACTACACGTATGTAGTCAGTGTGTCGTACCGGTTGTGAGTGTGGTGGACTCCGGCCCTGCCTCCTCAGATTGACTCGCTCCATTGGCCGAAGGTACGGCGAGTTCCACTGAAACCATTCATCATGTCGACGGCTCCACTGACGGTAGTGGATCAGGACCCGCTCTTTGTTGTAGTCGATTTTTTCAATTGTGGCTGTGTACCTGATAGGAACACACCGCAGTGTAGGATGAGATTTGAAAGTTATCAATCATGTCATCAAATTTTAAAGGTCAACAGAACACAAAAATTAAAATTTCATCTTTAAATTTTAGGACAAAGCTACAATTCTAAATATCATCATGAATCAACTATTGGGGGTTTGTATGCCACTACAGATATGTGTGTTAGTGTATATTCCAGACCAGTTCTTTTGTCGATCTCGAGCTTCCAGCTGTGCTCCAACCTTGAAAGTGATTCCTGACCTTTCAGGTGGTGTCTTCATCTGCAGTAACAGAGAGAAAAAAAAAAAAACTCCAGTCAGTTTAATATTTATGATATATATATATATTTTTTTTACATGTCCTGTCTTTTGCAGTAAAATCTCCAGATTTCTCTTTGTAAAGTTCATACTGAAACATTTTTTAAATTATCACCTGCTTGCTTTTCTTTTGTTTTGAGGGAACTGAGAGGTGATTTTTACTCTGTATGTTTGCTATGTCCTGAACCAGAGGTGGATTGTTCAAATCCTCGTGTGTTGGGTTTGACTCCAAAATCTGTTCATTCTTGTGGGTTTAAGTAAAACCTTTGTTCCCAATGTGTGTCTGTCCAACTTGCTGTGGCAGCAAAATAAAGCACAATGTTTACTTTTCACATTCAGAATCAGCTTCACTGACCAAGGCAAGCACATTTACACGTACAGGAAATTTGCTCTAAGAAGCTGTCTGTATACTTACATACAATGCAGAGGACAAAGGATAAAGATAATGACATACAGCTTAACCATGATATTGAGCTACACAAATATGATCTCTCTATGAACTCATTGCGCAGGCAGTGAAAAGACCGCTGAAATAAACAGTATAAAGACGTGTATTAATGTGCTTGATGATTTGGTATTGAAGCCAGGGCTGCAACTAAATATCATTATCCTTATGAATTAACCTGCCAACTTTTTCTCCATTAATTATAAAATGTCAGAAAATAGTGACAAATGTCCATTAACAGCTACTCAGAGCCCGAGGTGACATCTTGAAATGTATTGTCCTATTAACAGTCAAAACCAAAAGATATTCAGTTTATTACCATATTAGACAACAACAAAAAAAAGCTCACCAAATCCTCCCATTTGACACCATGGAACCTGACAACATTCACCAGTTTTACTAAAAAAATTACAAAAAAAATAGCTGCGGACTAATTTTCTATCAACTGACTAAGTGATTAATCAACTAATTGTTGCAGCTCTAACTGCAGCAACTTCAATAATATCTGTTTATAGAGCTCGGTTATTCTAATTGTTCACAAATGTGATGCCAGGTGGAAATAAACTGTTCTTGTGACTGGTTGTTTTGGTTTACTCTCTAGCGGTACACTGGTAATTACGGATTTAAAGTTTCAATGTTGTCATCATGCACAGGCAAATTTGATTAAATTCTTTTTAGTATAGGCAGCCTTAATCAGAATTAAAAATAAAAAACTGAGTCCATAACAAAACTAAAACGGCCTTGTTTCAGGATACGTCTAATGTACGTACGTAACAACGACAGTCAGTGATGACACTATACATATTGGACGTCACTAACGTCTCAGAGATAACGGCTGTAGACAGACAAACTTCAGTTTAGTTTATTCATAAATAAATACATTTTTCACAAATCTTTGTCTGAATTATGAGAGATTTGAGTGTAAAACGTTAAAACTCAAGCAATGGGCAAACAATGAAAGAATATCTTTAGAGACATATTTGTGTCCGTTCTGTCAGTGTCCTCTGTGAAAGACGCTGATTGGTCCACAGGCAGCCGTCGACGCCTGTTCAGACTTCTCACTGGACGTCTCTGCTGTCAGTCGAAAAAAAGAGTCACGCCCCTCTGTAGCTGCTCAGATATTTGACAGTAGCTAACATGCTAATGCTAACTGTGTTAGCTTCAAAGAGTAGCAAACAATGGCATTAAGACTAAGCGCAAATATGCTTCAAAATAACACGTTTGTAAACTACACCTGCACAGCAAAGGGGACAAGCAAAGTTTTGAAGTTGTACATAATGCTCGTCCAGTTAAACGGAGTTGTGTCTTCTCTCCATTGACTGTGAATAGATAAGCTAACACAGCTAACTGTTAGCCTGTGCTTAGTCTGAAAAGTCAGTGACAGCTGCAAGCGGATTAAGGTTTCGTGTCGGCCAATGAGTTGTCATATAAGCGTAAACCTTTATAATAGCGTCTCCGCTGTTTAAAGGTGATTACGAGCGTTAAATGTGTAAATGAGTAACATCAAAGCTTGTTTACCTCTGGCGGTACTTGTACACTGCACTCCTCATACTGTGATGGCCGCAAAGCGCATGCGCGGATGCAGACGTTCAGCTGCTTAGTGTTTATTTGTCTCAAGTATGTTTTGTTATATTCTTCTAAAGCAATGATTATAGTTAGATACCATTTATACAATTCTTATAATTTGTAAATACTTGCTTTATTAATGGTTAATACATCATTTGCAAATGCTTTATAGATGAGCTATAAGTGAATAAGAGCAATATGAAAAATCCCACTGGCAGGTGTTCTCATTATTATTTGGAAATACTGAAGTCACAAATATTGGTAACCCATTAATAAATGCAACAACTTAATTTCTTGTGTCACCACATATGTTTGTTCTCTTGACCTAATAAATAAACCATGTAAACTCAATGTTCCACAATCAAGTGACACAAAAACACAAATGATGACACCTAGAGGTAGCAATGTTCATTACACCCCCTGGCCCTCAGTAAAAGGACTACAAAGTAAAATTTGTCCTGAGGGTGGTGGTCTGAGGCCAAAGGGGTCATTGAAAGAAAAGCTTTATGCTTTGGTACTGGGTTATAACCCTGTGTCTTTGAAAACCAAAAACAAAGCCTCATTCTGGTCATAGAGCAAAACTTCAACTGCCACATCAAATAAAAAACACACCCTGCATACAATCCTCTTAAAAACATAGCAAGAGGATTCATGTTCAGGGAGTACTTATAGAGACATGTCCATGCTTGTCAAAAACACATCTCTGACTGTCATCTGGTGGTCTGCTAACTGTTCCCAGGATCCAGTCTAAACATGGAGAAGCAGCATTTAGTGACTCTGCACCTCAGAGCTCAAACACATTTCCAGAAAACCCGCCCAGACTTTGACAGCTTTTAAATCCAGCTCAGATCCTAAGCATTCATTATGTCCCTGTGCTATATTTACTAAACAGGCTCTATCTCTTTTATTTGCATTTTTATGTATGAAACGTACTACAAATAAACTTGCTCTGGGAGTCACCTGAAACACTGAGACACATTAGGACTAAAGGTATCCAAGTCAAATTTCATGTTAATCCAGCTGTTGCTTCTGAAGATCCTTTACTTAAGTAAAAGCACCAATACAAGAACTTTAGAAATGCTCCATTACAAGTAAAAGTTCTGCATTGAAAATGTTATGTAAGTAAAAGTATGTAAGTATCAGGTAAGTAAAAGTATGTAAGTATCAGGTAAATGTACCTCAAGTTTAAAAATAAAAGTGGTCATTGTAGCGGAGTGGCTGTTCAACTATTGTATATCATATCATTAGATTATTCTATTATTATAGCTGTCAACAAACTGTAGTGGAGTAAAAAATACAATATTTGCCTCTGAAATGCAGTGAAGCAGAAGTTCTTCAAAATTGCACTAAAGTAAAAATATTTCATTATATTACACCAGTGATGTGTCACAAATACATTCATGTATTTAGTGATTAGTGTTGCTGCAGTTATTCTCTCTGTTTTTGAACTTTATTATTTGAAAATAGCTGCTCTGGACAGGAGGGTAGAGATGACAGCATAGCAAAACCAGTTCACAAATAGAAAAACATAAATACTTTGAAACACTTTGTCAGTTGGACAGGTGAGGGGCCAGTCGAGGGTCTCGTCTCAGCTTCTGATCAAAAGCAAGGTATTTCTGAGGAGCTGCCTCCTTATGCCTGGAACAAACACACACCGACACACATAAATAATCGTACACACACCATGATCAAAATACTTTCTGTTCTTTTTTTTACAGTAACAGCTAGCCAAGCAACGATTATGCATTATGCATCATTATGACTTTGGACTGTTTATATGTGTGTGTGTGTGTGTGTGTGTGTGTGTGTGTGTGTGTGTGTGTGTGTGTGTACATGCTGAGCCGTTTCTTGGTGACGTGTATCTGCAGTGTTTTCTCAGAGCAGAAGCTGTGGTAATCTGCCTCCTGCGTTTGTGTCATGCTGAGCTGGTTCTCTTGGTACCACTGCTGTTTCTTCTGCAGCTCCTGCGTCACCTAAACACAAAGCTGTGTTTCCTTATCACAGAGTTTGATTACAGCAGACTTGCAGTGTCTCTAAATCTTCTTGTTTATCCCAAACTCTGGTCTGAAAATTTGTGCACATCATAAACAAAACTAACTCTTTAAGGCGCATGTGTCTCCTTAGAAAAATGTTGATACACTCCAGTATACTCAACCGTCAGATACACATAATGCACTAGATAAAACTGACTAAGAATTGTTTATAAAACCATGTGATTTGTATCATCTGTTTAAAGTTAGATAGTAGTAGATTTACTTCCAGAAGAACAGTGGGAACAGTAGTGAAATGTGACATTGGCGATACGTTACATCACATCTCGTGAAGTTCCTGCAGAGGAAAAGGGCTGTGATCTACATCATGAGTAAGCTTGTGCTGTACCTTTTCGTAGCGTTCCTGAATGAGGTCGGCATGCTCTAGCAGTTTCTGTTTAAACATTGTCAAACAGTCCTGGTGGAGCTGCTTGGCGTCCTCAGCGCTCAGAGTTCCTGCTTTGTCCAGCCGGATCAGGATGACAGCCAGGATGTCATTTTCCCTCTCCTGCAGCCACCTCTGCTCCTCCTGAGCCTGACGCTCCTGCAACAGCAAAAAGTATTTTGTCTGTTTAAACCAAGGCCTTGTCCACACATACACATTTCCTTTCAGGGTGAAGATGTTCACAAACTCAGTTTTCTGTGTTGATTTGTAGACAGGGAAGACTGAGTTTTTGGCTTGTGTCGTCAGTGTTGTTAACCACTGGAACCGTGGATCCTTGGTCTTATGGTTAGGGTTACAGGCCCAGTTCAGACCTACATCAACATGCGTCTTCAGTGATGTGGTGGTCACTTGAGACTACTGGTGATCAGATCTCACTTCCCCGCTACCACATATAAACAGGTATGCGTTGTTGTTTTTAGTGGCAGACGGGTCCATTGTCAGTGTACTTGTGTGTGTGTGTGTGTGTGTGTGTGTGTGTGTGTGTGCGTGCGTGTGTGTGTGTGTGTGTGTGTGTGTGTGTGTGTGAATGGGGTCTGATAATAAACTACAGCCCGACAGATTTATCAATCGTCCGATATTGGCCTATCACAGATATATCGGTATCGGCGCATATATTCTCCTATATGCACTGATATGAATACTTTTATGAAGAACACAAGAACTAATACATATACTGTATGTATATTGTATATATATATACATATATATATATATATATTGTATATATATATTCTTTTTATAGTTATTTTATTCAATTCCCACTGAACTTTACCGTTACAGTGAACTGATTCCATTTTGGACAATAAAGTTTATTGTTAAATATCCTGCTGTCATTACAAATCTTTATCACAAGTGTTTTTATATATATCAGATATGTCAATATCTGAATTTTTTACTCCCTAATCTCGGTATCAGCATCAGCCCCAAAAATATCGGTCGGGCTCAATAATAAACCACCGGTTGGTTTGGCGTACTCTCGACAGCTCTTGACAGCGTTTTCATATTGACAGGGATTTTTATAAGAAAGAAGAAGGAAAACCCTCATTTTAGTAAATGCTTGAGTATGTGTGAATTTAGTTGCATTTTTAAATGAATTTTATATACAGGAATAATTCAGTGGGAAGGTAAATAGATAAGATAAATAGGTAATATAAGGTCGGTAGGTATGTTAACTGTTCTTGACAAAATAGCTGTCAAATTTGGAATCAACCAACACAACCATTTTTCATATATAGTCTGTGTGTGTGTGTGTGTGTGTGTGTGTATGTGTGTGTGTGTGTGTGTGTGTGTGTGTGTGTGTGTGTGTGTGTTTGTCTAACCATTTCCTTTCTGCTGCTGCGAGCCCTAGCTGCTCCTGCTGTGCTCCATGGGGAGAAGAAAAGCTGAATGTTGTTCTCCTCCTCCTCTCTGCGGGCCACGATGTTTTGTACCTGCTCACACATAAGATTTAGAAGAAGTTTTCACATCCTCAACTGAGGTCAAAGTAACAAACATTAACTTACAAACTAAACTCACATATCATGAAACTTTCCCTGGTCTATCACTGTGTCAGCTGCCTAAATGCACTGTTAGTTTTGGTCTGTGTGAAGCTACATGTCTGGGGACAAGGCACAGGTTCAGCCTGGCCCCCAGGTCCTCCAGAGCTCAAGTTAATCTTAAATTAGTTCAGAATAGATACAAGATGATTGACAGAGCAGAACACATTTCCTCTGAGTCATATTCTGGAGGTTTGGTACGAAATACCATTGGCCATTATGAATGATATGTTGGCTGAGGGAACATGTATAATTTCAAACAGGAAGGTTTTAGTCTCCTGTTTGCATTTTGAATATTTGAAACCATCACAGGATTTTCTTAAAAGAATGAGAAACATCGCAGATGTTGGGTAAATCTTTGTGTCTGAGTCCTACTCTAAACATCAATCGTCACCTCGTCCAGAGACTGTTCGATCTGGGCAGCCACCATCTTCTCATCCTTCATCAGGGCCACCAGCATCTCATACAGAGTATGGATCTTAAGAGGCTTCTCAGATGGATCCACCTTAACACACACACACAAGGGATGCAGACAGACACAGATGCTTTATTATTGAAGTTTATGATCACATATGCAGCTCAGACACTGTGAAATCTACACTCTGTATCATGCTGTGTGTTTGTTGTCTGTACCTGGAAGCTGGAGACCAGTTCAGATGTGAACTCCTCGGCCTTCTTTTGCTCTGTTGACTCTCGAGGTTTGATGAAGCTCCTCTTTGAAGGGATGAATCTGTGATCCTCTAAGTGATAGGTCACCTCAATCCGTCTTTGAGAGGGTAGGAACACTCGCTCGGCCACGTCTTCATTGGCTGGTTTGGCTCTGTCCCTGTGGAAACGCTCCACCACCTAACACACCACATACACACAGAAACAGACACAGACACAGACACAAACACACACACACACACACACACACACACACACACACACACACACACACACAGGCACATAGGCATCCTGCCTCGTTTGTTGAGATGAAACAATTTAACCCACACTACACTTGAATACAAAACAAAGTTGATCCCCCAAGTTAGACAGACAACAAAAAATATGTAATATCTAAAAAAAAAAACCCATCTTATTATTATATTATAGTAGGTGAATAACATGCATTGGAGACCACTATGAAAAACTGTATAGGTTACCAACCTAACTGTCCTGAACAAAACTAATCCGCCTGCTGGTTGTATCCTTCCACAAACCAGTCAAGTTGCAGTTTACATCCGTGACTGTCCAGACTCATATAATATAATGTAGTGAAAACTGTGAAGGAATTTCATAAAAGGCAAACATGTGTTTTATGAGGTAACAGTGACCTTGACCTTTGACCTCTGATCATCAAACTTGAGTTCGAGTGAACGTTTGTGACAGATTTGACTCAATAAAATCTGAAACACTAACGTTAATTAGATTTGTTAATTTCTTCACTTCTTGTTCACATATTTTTACCCGTAGCAGTTGGCCGTCCGGGTCAATGCACATATGTGGTTCTGAAATCTGAATGTGTCGGTCGAAGACAACGTGTCTGTAGTGGAGGAAGTCGGCTCTGTCCTCGAAGATCTCCGTCATTTCGCCTGGTGACACCACCCTCCGCACCACGTTGTCGATGCGAGTATTGCTGAACCCCATTTCATACACAGCGTCTGCACTCAGGGACTTGAACCTGTAAACTGAACAAATGAAAGAGACTTAACATTGAGGGACTACAATCTTCTAAAGTGTAAAACATGGACCTTTAAAGCCCATTGATTCCTGTTCACTGTGTTCCTGCACATTTTTCCTTAAAAACTGTACTTCGTCTTGACTGTGCTACAACTACAAAACAGAACAGTAACTGCTTTTCACCATGTGCTCACAAGGATGATGAAGAAATAACAATGGCAGCAAAGAATCTAAAGAGATTTTATTCTACATGAAACAACCATTACTGAAGGAGAACTGAAAACATTCACACTTAGTTGTGAGTCTGGGTGATCAGTTCAGATTTTGTTTTAAATAAATGTTTCTGAACATAGTTGGATGAGTTAAAGTGTGTCAGTGGTGATGTGAGGTTTTAACTGAACAGCAGCAGAAATCAGATTTACATAGAAGGTAGAAGGGTCTTCCCCGTTTGAAGCGTTCTGTGGTGAAGCTGTCGACCTTGTTGACCTCCCTCTCCTCCAAGTGGTCGTTCCTGTGTTGATACCACTCCTTCACCATGGCAACCTCGGTGCCTTCAATGCACGCACGCACACGTGCGCACACACACACACACACACACACACGTTACATCATACACAAACCTACTTCAATTACATAGACTTACATTAACAGATGTTCAGTGCTCTGCTGTATCTCACTGTTACTAAAGACTTTTTTCTTCAGGTCTGAAGGGACTGTGGTAAAAATACCCTATAACCCACTTGCAGAAAAACTTAATTTTTAGGAAGTCACAGCTTCTTTTCAACACTCACAGTCCAGGTCTTTGTAGGTCATCAGTCGTGTGACCAGGCCGTCTGGCCTCAGGTATGCAGTGAACTTCTCCACCTTTGCTTTTCTGTAGCGGGTCACCTTCTGTCCTCCCGGCCAGCGGGTCTCCAGGTCTGAGTGAGAAAGGACAGGCGGCAGTTTCAAGAGGTTTCACAGCATCATGTGTTTGGGTTTGAGAAGGCATTAGTGTACGACTACAGCAGAATACTGAGACTGATCTATGTTTATATTTCCACTCTGCTACCTGCACTTTATTTGAATAACACTCAGAAAAACTAACAAAACATTAAAGCTTTAATGTCAGGTTTGTCAGGTTTACCATCATGTGGAGTTTCTGTACCTTCTTTTGAGATTGTGATGTAATTGACCCAGGATCTCGGCATCTCAAAAACCCGGGGCTCCTCCTCCACCTTCAAAACCAATAACAACACAATGTTGGTCTTACACTTCACAACATTCATGTTCATGGCAAAATCATGTTTCAGTGACAATGCAAGTCTTTCTGTTATGTTTTTTTTTTTAGTTAATAAATAGGTGTTTTCAAAATTGGGGTACATTGAGGCAGTTTGTTTTTTCATTTTAAACCAAAATTCAGAAAATGGAAAATCAGACCAGTTTTTTTTGTTTTTGTTGTCAGAATTAAAAACCAAAAAACAAGAACATCGAATTGGAAAGAACGGTCCAATTCTGCTATTTGCAAATTCCTTTTTCTCAAATTTTTCTGTGTTGAATTGAAGAATGAAGAATGGTAGTTAGGTGCTTGCATAATGTTACACTTTGTAAAATGGCTATTCTATCCTCTTGGCTTTCATTTTGAAATACTGACCTTTACTTCCATGCTACCTTTACTACCTTTCTTCATTGTTTTTTAATTTTTGGTTTAAAAGGAAAAACGAACAGCCAGAAAGTACACGGACCTTTCATCAGCTACCACCTCTTGGCTACAGTGGGTGGAGTGGACAGCAATGTGCAGATGCTGTATCACCAGTAGAATAATTAGCATTATGACATCCCAGTTAAAGGTGTAACATCATTATTTTAAAAAACTGTTTTAGGTTCTTTATGTGTAAAATTTCAATGGGCATCAAAACAGGTGAAAAGTACTGAAGGGAAATGGACGTTTAGAGAGGACCAAGTAAGAAATCTAGGAAATGGGTAAAGTTTTAACTGTCGTTGTCTGTTTATTTCTTACTATCAACAAATCCCATGAAAAGATCTAAACAACCACGTGTTGCTCCGTTTGTTGACAATAAGAAAAATATCACCAGCTTTATCCTACCTGCTGCCATCCTCTCTTTAGTCCTACCTGATCTGCATCTGAGTCTTGGTTTTACACCAGAGCTGCTAGATAGGGCGAGGCATGAACATACACACAGAGAAACACACATACATACCTCCTCATCTTTGTTAATTTTGCTCAGCATCTTTGTCTCCTTTTCCTTCAAGACATCGAGAATAAGCTGCTTTTTGCTGGTTGCACCGAACAAGACTGGCTCCCACATGTTTAAATCTTCCAGGTCATACATCATATCCTACACACACACACACACACACACACACACACACACACACACACACACACACACAGAAAGCATCTATTGTCTCTATTGACTTTGACTCTAACAGTATATTACATCAGCAGTTGTCGTGGACTCACAGTGCAGCCATTCCTGCAGTCCTGCATGTTGACATAGTAGTTGAGATTGTTCCACACGCTCTCGATGCCCAGGAAGTTTTCGTGGTCAGTGCTGTAGCTGATCCCGGTCAGAGGGTCAATGAAGAAGTCCTTCTGGACGCTCCGACTTCCTGACAGCACCAGCACCCAGCAGTGCACCCGCAGTCCTCGCAGGGGGTCAGCCGTTCGCTGCTCACTCTCCTGTTAATGAGGGGGGAGAAGAGGTAGAAGGTGAAGGGAGGGGACAGAGAGAAGAGGAGGGTTTAACATCTCATTTAAAGCTTTACTGGATGGACAAGTTTCACTCAGTAAATCAATACATGATAATAATAATTTTCAGTTTATTGCTGTGTCACTGGATGGGAACCTGCTGTAGCTCTCAAACGGACTGACAGGGCTTTCATGACAGTATTTAGAGCTGTCAATCAATATATCTATCAGCAACTTTTTTGAAAACTGAATGATCAATTTAGACAATTTTCAAACAAATATTTGCTGGTTCCAGATTTTCCAGTGTAAAGATGGGATGATTTCCTTTATCATATATGGAATAAAACAAGATTAAGATATTTAACAATAATAATAATAATAATAATAAAATTTATTTATAATTTATTTATATAACACTTTTCACTACCAAATTGTGTTGGTGTCATGTTACCTCCTGTAGTTTTTGCTTTTGAAGAAGTGCAGCTTCTGCTTCCTGTTTCTTCTTCTCTTGCTGTGTCAGAAAGTGACTCTTCAGCTCCCTCACAGGTTTCACTGTGTACTTGTTGTGCTGTGACTCCTGCTCTGAGCTCACACTCTGCACATACAAACACACAGCACACACAACCAAACAGACACATTCATATCTGCAGCAGTGGTGGAACACATACTCAGGTCCTTTACTTAACAATAATAATACAATGATTTAAAACTACTCTGTTATAAGTAATTCCTATATTTAATATTATACTTTAGTGAAAGTACATAAGTATTAATAGCAAAGTGTACTTAAAGAAACAAATGTAAATACTCATCATGCCAAAAGAACCATTTAATGGTGTGATATTTTAATAGGATTATTGTCACAGATGCATTAATATTTAAGCAGTGTTTCCGATACCTACAAACAGTAACTAACCTGTGTTAATTTAAATGAACATGTTTCACATTTAGCAATAAGTGACACAAGAAACATTAACGCAGGTTTCAGCATTGGGGATTGGGGGATTTTTCCCACTGAAGAATGCATCATATTTTGGAAGATTATTATGCTTTGTATGAAAAGTGATATGCAAAGTAACTACTATTTATAGCTGGTAAACAAATGTAGAGGAGCAGAAGTGTAAAGTTGCATAAAATGGAGATACTCAAGTTGGTACAAGCATGTCAGTATTGTACTTAGGAACAGCACTTGAGTAATTGTATTTAGATACTTTCCACAACTGGTATGTAGTGACCTGCAGAGCAGCACTTACCTTGACCTTAGTGTCCAGCAGAGGGCAGTCCTGCAGACTCTGGTCGAGCAGACACATATCTTTGACTGCGTAGCCGCTGACACAATAGGCATCATAGTCAGCGCCGAGCAGCAGGCTGCACAGCAGAGTGGCAAATTCAAAACATGTGGCTCTCTGACTCTGCAGCACGGAGGTGGAGGAGAACAGGTAGCTCGGCTGGGACAGCAAAACACACACTGTTACTATCAATCATACACACTGCAGAGAAGGTCCGTGTGTGTATTTATGGATGTTTTTGTGAACACATACATCAGAACTATAGGCTTAATGTCTGTAGTACCAGAATCCTACAGCTTTAGCTCCTGTTAGATGTTCATATCGCACCACCATAAGTTCTGGGGCCAGATGCATAAAACTCTGTATAGATTCATGACTAAAACTACGTGTACACACAAAATATGAAACGGTTTACAGAATGACTCATGATAAATAATTAGGATATTAAACGAAATGGCGCACGCATGATTCTTATGTGTACGCTCTATTCATACAACTGGCCCCTGGACTTTATCATTCTATCTCTGACAAAGTCAGTATGTTGTAGAAAAGTCAGTATGTTGTAGACTCATGACTGCAGAATCACTAGTATTGTTCCAGATGTGGAGGTAGCGTCTGACAATCATGCTGTATTTGGGCCAGATTCGTCGAGCGGAACCGGACGTATACGGGGGCCAGAAGAAAACAAGCATGTGGCCCAAGTATAGGCTATTGTTAAGCAGTAAGTCATCTATATCTTGCCAGTGCTGATGTGAACAGTGTTTACAAATGAGAAACTGGTAGTTACAGTAACTCCAACATGACATGAATGTGTTATGATGAAAGAAACTATTTAGCAGAGGTTGTGTTTTATTCCAGTTTACACCATCTTACAGTTTGGCCTGTAAAATGGTAAAAATGTGGCTACCTTTCCTTTTTAATAGATACTGAAAAATAATGGATGGATTTTATGTGCACTAGTGTGCGCTACTTTCTGACCGGGTTGACAGGCGGCTCCAAAGGTTCCAGAGACAGGAAGTTAGCCACAAAGGAAGCACTGCCCTCCCAGGTGAAAAGTTCAGGGAAGATTGTCGGAGTGGGCCGAAGAGTCGTAGACACAAACTTCTAAATATCAGAAAAATATACGCTGGTATTAGACAGAGACAGGGACGTGTATACAGTGTAGAGGCTAAGTGGTAGACAAAAGAAAAGAGAACAAAGGTTAGTTTAGTGTAGCATTACCTTAACACCACATTCATTGAGAGGGCTGAGCAGCAGCGGCTTGCGGTCGGGATACAAGTGTGAATATTGACGCTGGAAGTTGTCGGCAATGGCCAACAGTCGAATCTCATCAGGAGAGTTAATCCTGTAGACCTTGGGATATGCCTCATCCAAGCTCAGGCTGGTGAGGCACAGCACGTGAAGACAGTGAATTATCATGTTCATGTGCTCTCATTCCATCATCACACACCCTGATGTAAAATTAGATGCAAAAAAATCTTAAATATTTATTGTCAGTAAGGTTTTTGTGACTTTTACACCAGCTGTTAAAATATCTGTACCTGAAGGGGATCAGATCAAGTCAGATGGTGAAATTTGGAAAAAATCTAAATAGCAGATAGTTCCTTCAATATTAGAGTTGGAACAACAGGTCAATTAATACAAGATCAACAGAAAAATAATGTACAGTAAAGTGGATAATTGATGAATTGCTTAAGTAATTTTTCAACCAAAAAAGCAAAAATTTTGGTTCCAGCTTCTCAAATGTGTTTTCACCCCCGTCAGCTTCTAGTCTCCTTCAGTGTGTGAGTTTGTATATGTGTGTGTGTGTGTGTGCTCACAGAGGCTGCATAGACGCTGAGACAGGTATGTTACTGAGAGCCCCCTCCAACTCTTGGTCATCCTGCTTCTCTTCCTCCTCTTGTGTCTCTCCACTTTTAAGTTGCTCCTCTCTGTCTGACTCCAGCACAGTCTCCATCTTTGAGAAAAGTAGTAAATGTGTTTATAAGCATCTAAGTTCTCTCACTTACACACACACACACACACACACACACACACACACACACACACACACACACACACAGCAACCAGGAAGACATTTTCATGTTTTCAGTCTGGACTAGATACACCAAATACATGAGCTGACAAGACTAGACAACTATAGAAGATCACCTACCTGTCCTGTATATACCGGTTATATCCTGTTAGCATTTCCACCTTAAGAAACTGTTTAGCAGATATATAAACGATCAGACAGCTGCAAAATTTTCTCAGCTAAATTCCCAAATCATCTGTGTGAGGTGCAGAACAAAGTGGTACAAAAACAGCTTTGTTCCTGATGCTATCACTGAGCTGAACAAGATGTAGCGACATTTGCACATTGACTGCTGAAGCATTATTTATTAGCACTATCCATTTTGGTTTTATACTTGCCTTTAACTTGGTTCTAGAGGTTATTTTATTTATTTATCTAATTTATTTATCTGATTCTTATAGTGTTGTGTCATGTTACGGTTGTTTTATATGCCAAACTGGATGTTCTCATCTTGCTGCAAAACAAATCTACCTACGGAATCAACTAAGTAACCTGAACCTGTCCAAAAATCCAATCATCACTTGCTCCACTCTGTAAATATCTTAAAGATTTTGTTAGCAATCTCAGTCTGATGTTCAGTCCTAGACTCAACTTCGAGACACACATCACCAAATTAATCCAGTCTTATTTCTTCCATCTCGGGAACATTGCCAGAATTTGTTCAGTTTAAAGATATTGCTTTCATTTCCTCCCGATTAGACTCCTGTGATGGCCTCTTATTTGGCATAGATAAGAAAATTGTACAAAATGCAGCTGCCAGAAGTCTATAAAAGAGCAGGAACAGAGAGCATATGACTCCTTTCTAAAGATTCTTGCAATGGCTGCCAGTTGGTTTTAAAATTGATTCTATGATGTTACTCGTTACATTTAAAGCACTGCATAAGGAAGCTGAGAAAAGCCTCTTTTTTTCGTTATCTCAAGATAACAAAGCTTGTTATCCCGAGATAAGGAGATATTATAAGGAGAAAACGATGTTTTGTTATCCGAATTAAAGAAATATTATAAGGAGTAACTCCTTAGCTGAGGAGGACTGATCTTAAAATGATCTTGTATGGAAACACAGTGTGATTTCTGCCCGTAATTGAAATTTTGTCTGATACCTTGATCAATGCTAGTCCTCACATTTTCAGTTTACTGTTGTGGAAGGAACCTCACACTTGCAAACTAAATAAAATTAATTATTATTATTATTATTATTATTATTAGCTAGTTGTATTACCATACCCCATTGTTTTCATTTTTTAAGTAGGCTAAATAGGATTTATTTATTTTATTTATTTATTTCTAACTTAAGTCGCCCCTAGATACATTCATTTTCTATACATTCGCCCTTGTAGCCAGTATCTAGCTAGCTAACTATTTCCTAGCTATGTCCTGTGTGTATAAATTCATTCCAGTGTATTTTACCTGCTGTTAAAATAAATAAAACAGGGGCATTATTATACGCATTATGTATACCGAGTCAGGACAGTGGAAATCTAAACATTATCTTAAGAAACGGTTAAATTCCAAGTTATAAGTTGTAAATAAGGGTCTGGTCTGACAGGGCCGCTGAACGTCACAAAGTTTTACTCACCCAGTCTCTCTGAGTTTAACGGGTTTGGTAGGAAGAATCAGTTTTTTTTGTTTGACTAAATTAACATTAATTCACGTAAATTCCTACTGAATCGTGAGAAACTTTGAGCGTTGTACTTCCGTGTCCATGGTAACAGCGAGACGCGATGACGTGACACTATGTTGCCTTCATGTACTCTCAAATTGGGGCGTAAATTTGAAAGTTGAGAGTTGTTAGCGGTTAGTGTCTTACTTTAAATATTTCAAACATTACAATATATTTCCACTGTAGAAATAAGAAGTGAATAGTACAATATTACAGTATAATATTTGTATTTGTTACTGAGATAATATTGTGTAATATTTTTCTCATAAATGTGTATTGAGACACTGTCTACACATTAAAACCAGAAATAATTACTACTAAGACCACACATTAGATAGATAGATAGATAGATAGATAGATAGATAGATAGATAGATAGATAGATAGATAGATAGATAGATAGATAGATAGATAGATAGATAGATTTTATTTATCCCCTCTTTATATCGGAGTATTAAGTGCTTAGTCTATTTTATTCTATTTTTTTTTAAAACCATATAAAAAACAAAAAATATAGCAAAAAACAAAAAATTGGAGGAAGTAAAAATAGACTGAAGAAAAATAAATAAATGAGAAAATAAAGGGGAAAATTAATGTAAATGATGTGAATCATGCTGGGGCTTCAGGTCTAAACAGTCACAGGATCTCAGTTTGACCTGGAGACAGATTAAGAGCCAGGGTGGGAAAAGTATTCAGATCTTTTATTACGTAAAAGTAGAAATATCACAACATAAAAATACCCCATTAAATGTAAATGTTCTACATTCTGAATTCTACTTAAGTAAAAATCACGTTAGTTTTATTAGAAAAGTTTTAAAAACTGACTCATTGAACAAACCCCTTTGTTGCAGTCTAACAATATTATACATACTATTAATTGTGACAGATTAACATGTAAGTTGCATTTTAGCATTTCCATTGCAAGCATGTTACCATGTTGATATTACCATTTGCTCAAAGCACTGCTGCGCCTTTGTACAGCCTCACTAATGTAATCTATGGAGCCCCTAAAGTCCCAAAATGTCATATTTTTTATCTCATGCACACTAGTTATTTATTTTGACAAAGAAAAAGAAAATTTATCACAAAATTCAGACATTAAAGATCATCTCTTGCTGAAATGGTGTTCTTCTTTGTCTCCTTTTCGCTGTGGAAGCTCTTTCCGTCCGACTGCTTCGTCCAGCTCAGTTTGATGTCTTCATTCACTCCCTTGTTCTTCAGCCTCTGTTTGAGCTTTTGATAAAGTTGGAAAAATATAAACTTTAGAAGAAAAGAGGGGGGCTAAGCTGGGCTGCATATGCACTCTGAGTATGACCCAAAACTCAAGTAAAGGATAGAGAAATACATCACTGCTCAAACATGGAATCAAGTTGCAGGAAATATGGTCACAATCTCTCCTTCCTGAGCTACAGCATTGAACAATGGCCTTAAGTGTTTTTGCAGAACATTATGATGTCACAGTAAAGTTGACCTTCTACCATTTGGATATAAAATGTCATCACTTCATTTTATCCTTACAGACATTTGACTTAAATTGTGTCATAATTAGGGTATGGCGTATGTAGGGTATGTAAGTTATGGCCAAAAATGTGTTTTGTGATGTCACAGTGTGCCAGAAGTGATGAAATTCCCGCTGGGTGTTCCTGATCTCACAAGAGTGTGCGATCACTGTGACCTTGACCTTTGACCCCTGACCACCAAAATCATATCAGTTCATCCTTGAGTCCAAGTGGACATCTGTGTCAAAGCTGAAGAAGCTCTGTCAAAGCGTTACTGAGATACCGCATCCACAAGAAAAGGACGGACGGACGGACAAACAACAATATGCCAATGGTTCTGGCTGTCGCTGGAGTGGAGGCATAACAATAGCTAATGTTGTGAATATGTAACTGTCTAGTCTTTGTCTAGTATATAAGATGACCCCCATTTTTCCAAACATGATATCCAGAAAAAATTATCATCTAACATTCAGATCAGTACAACAATTACAATTATTGTGGGTGCATATCACCAGGGCACACCTTGGGTCGTGTCAGCATTAGGCCTCTGTTATATCCACTTATGGATGTGTACTCGGTCAGCAGTGGAGAAAGCAGCGGACTCTCAACGCTATACATAAACAGCAAATGGGAATCACAGCTAAATAATAACAATAAAACAAACAAAATATTAGATGAAGAATGGTACAAAATGTGTACAACATAGTGTACCTCCACTAAGTCAGGAGTATGGAGAGAGCTCCGCCTGAAGAAGCTAACCAGGTTCATCATAACATTTCATGTCCAGACCCAGTAACCATGTTGGTGGCTCTGTGGTGAGCTGGAAGCCAACTATGTTCATGATGTCTGGAGGTGCACTTAACTGAAGCTTTTCTGGGACAATGTAAATGCAACCATAAAAGACATAGTGGGACATGCCATTCCAAACAGCTGTGCTCTGATGAACTTATGGAACATGGAGGAGGCAAGTGTTTTTGGAAATGTAATCAATGGAAAGAATTTCATACCTGCTGGGAGTTACAGGAAATATTTAAGCCATGACTTGGGAAAAATCAATCATTATATGAAGCATGATGGCGAAACGAAATTGAACTGTTTAAATATGAAAAGAAAATGTACAGTATATAGACGTCTAAATAACCTGTTGACAGCTACAGTATTTGTATTTGTTGTTGAATATTGTGTTATGTATAAAAACCCAATACAAAGCTAAAGTGTTTCCATTGAAAAAATGCAAAGGTCAAACATTTACCTGCTTCAAGATGTCTTCCATCACAGCAGGGTGATTCAGATCCAGAGAGGAGCTTCTTTTCACCAGCTTCACTCTCACCACTTTCTTTGAAACAGACACGACTTTGAAAAACAAACAAGCTTCATCAGTTACACAGTTTCTAGTTGGTGCACTTTGTAGGTGGGTGTTTTATGGTGGAGGAAGATCTTATTTCATTGGCCTTGGCATTCTTGCATCATTGAAATCAGCACTCCAACAACACAAACCCATCATCTGCTGTTGAGCCCGACTACATATCAACTTTTCAAACAAGTTAATGAACATCATCATCATCAGTATGGATGTTAAAACTTATTAAATCCATAACTTGATATTGATGGATGTTATTTTTCTCCTCATTTATTCTTTTAGGGCAGTTTTTAGCCCTCTAGCAGCTTGGCTCCAGAGATGGTAATGTTGGTGTGTCAGTCAGCCCGCCACTTTCCAGACTAAAATATCTCAACAACTGTTGGATGGATTGTGATGAAATTTGTTTCAGATGTTCGTGTTTGCCTCAGGATGAATTGCAATAGCTTTGATGACTTTGATGCTCAATACTCTGGTTTATGATCAAATACCTGAAAGCTAATGACATTCCCAACAGCCTCAGCTGGACTTTGAGTTTTGAGCAAATAAATTTTAACATTTAAGGAGGTGAACGTGGTAAACATTTACCAGTGAAGCATTGGCATGTTCAACTGCATCTGCAGGTAAAGTAAATCTAAATTTACATTTAAAGGCTGAATCATGGCTTACCACTGTAGCAAATAAATGCTCTCCTGTGATCACAGTTCCAGTCCTCCCATTTTCCAGAGTTCTCAAAATTTGCTGCCACACATTTCTCTTCGTGACGTTTGTTATTAGGTTCATTTTCACTCCAGTGCCTAAACGAGGAGTTACTTCCATCCAACCACTTCCAAGAGTCTCTGAAAAGGCCGATCCAGACTTGTTGTTTGGAAGGTACCAGATTCATTACTTTCTGGTTTTCCTGAAGGTTTCTCACACTGGTCAGGTCTGTGTGGTTTGCTCTGCAGTAGCTCTGGGCTTCAGTCCATGTCATGGATTTGTTGATGAGGACATGTGTCTCACTCGACCCTGAAAACAGACCATAGAAAAGTGCTGTGCAGCGATTAACATAACATACAGTTTGCTATCAATGTCACATCTGTGTAAGTAAAGTAATTACAGCTTTATCTGTACAGCACAAACAAAAGCTACAAAGTGCTTCACATTAACAGCATAAAAAAACATAAAAGAGTACACAAAACAGAAATAGGCATAACAGCAACAAACATGACAAAATCAATTTGACAAAACAACTAATATTAGTTAGAAGGTCCTGGGTTCGAAAACAGTTGTGTGGAGTTTGCATATTCTCCCTGTGTCTGCGTGGGTTCTCTCTGGGTACTCCGGCTTCCTCCCACGGTCCAAAAACAAGCATAATAGGTTAATTATGTGTGCATAACTGGTTGTTTGTCTCTATATGTCAGCCCTGTGATGGACTGGCGACCTGTCCAGGGTGTACCCCGCCCTCGCCCAATATCAGCTGGGATTGGCTCCAGCCCCCCCGCAACCCTATGAGCATAAGCAGCATAGATAATAGATGGATGGAACTAATATTACTTTTAAAAAGTGCGGATGTAAAAGTGAATGGCAGCATTCATGCCATTCTAAATTCAGTGAACAAATTCATTTGTAAAAATAATAATTAAAGGCATTGTCATCTTAGTAAATGTCGAGTGTTTCCTAACAGTCTCAACACAGGTTTCAAAATGTCCTTAAATATACACCAAGTAAATGAATCATACACCAAATAAATGCATATTTACAGCTTTTTCTAAACATGAATATTTTTCTCAGATTTCACCTTTTTTCTTTCTTCATAATAAATCTCAGCATGAAGCTGAGCTCCCCTTGGAGCTGTGTGCCTATTAGAGGGTGGATATCCAACCTGACAGTTGAAGTCAAAAATGTAGGAATGATGATTTGGTTCGGGTCTGATTTGGTCACATCAGCCGAACAATAGGCAGCCTAAAGGTCCCTTATTGTATGAAGTGAGATTTCAATGTCTGTTTTGATTATAAAGCAGGTCTAGGTTCTATATTAATATTGTGAAAGCATCAAGGCGCTCAGTCCACAGAGAAATGCACACAGCCCGTCGACTTCTTCAACTTTGTGATGTCACAACGAAGCAGTCACCGCCCTCAGCCATGCCCCAGCCCTGGACCCAACATCCAACCTTGCAGGATACACTCTCTAACAGCTGAGCCACTGAGCCGCAGGGTTGCCCCAATTTACGCATTTTTAAAGTGAAACTGTTTTATGGATGTTTCTACCGGTTTTAATCCCCCTCTGTTTGTTATAGAGAGGAGGACACCTCTGTGGATAATTTGGCTTCCAATAAAAACCTCCTGAATGTCTGGTTCATAAGTTATCAGAGAAACAATCAAAACAAAGGTTAGAGCAACCTCAGCTCCCCACCCTTCCCGGATGTCTTGTGTCCGCCGTACAGCTTTTTGATTACAAAACTGGACAAATGTAAAATATGGGACCTTTATCATTTCTGCTGTCAGATTTCTGGTCATCTGTAAAGCAGTTTGAATTGCACCAACCCATGAAAAGATGCTGTACAAATAAAGTTTGATTGATTGAAATGTAAGGGAAACATGGAGGCAAAAACAAGCAGAAAGGAAGAGAGGTAAATAAACTAAACTGCTTTGTTGTATGATGTAATTTTACCAGGTAAAATTCTCACCTCTGACATCAATGCAGACTGCCATTAAATGGCCTTCACAGTTGTCATCATTCCACTTTCCATAATCATACATCTGTCCACAGTTTTCTCCGTTTTCATTGTTTGGTTCTTTAGGGGCCCAATTTCTGTACTCAGCCTGCCCCAGACTTCTGTCTGACAGCGACCACCTCCAGCTGTTCACATCCTCATACAGCCCTATCCATGCTAGCTGAAATCAACATCTTGTCATTAGCCTCAAATATGATATAAAGTATATGTCCTTGATCAACTTTAAAGTTGCTCGAGGCTTAAATTTTAACCATATAATTTATATTTACATTCTTGATGCTGCCACTTTATTACAGAAATGTAAAATTGCTTTGGTTTCATTTTCACAACAATTTCAATTGTGGCCTCCAGGTTGTGTGTGTGATGTTTTTGTTTTGTGCGCTTTGTGAAACTTCACTAAATTTTAAGCATCATCACATTTCAATTTTAGTAGATACAGTTTAATTTACTGAAAAATTAAAACTGAGAACCCAACTGTGGATAAAGATAATAAAAACTGTAATAATATCATTTATAATCATTTATTAACTGATAATAAATGACCTGGAACTAGTTGAATATAAAATGGATGAAATGGAAGAACAGTTACATATTCAAAGAAATGGTCATTCACATTTTCCTATTAAAGATGACCATCTTTTGATAAATTGGCTTGTGTGGCTGTCATGTTTTCATTTGTAATTCTAACATTTAATGTAAATCAAAAGAGTTACTCAAGCACACTACAGCTATGAGGTACTCGTATTTCATTTGCGTATCAAATTTTATGCTAAGTTATTTTTCTATTTCAGTACATTTCAGAGAAATATTGTTCTTTTTACTCTGCTGAATTTATCTGACAGCTTTAGTTGTTAGTTTCTTTGCAGGTTCAAATTAAAATAGAGACAACTAACAAATAAAATTTAATTAAATTAAAGATTAAACTACTACAAGGCTTGTCATCAATGAAAAGAAAATCTTTGTATCACTAAAGTAATAATGTTTATAGTTCTCACTATGCTGACACTTATTTTTGTAAGAAGTTTAACCATGACAATATAAGCTTATTGTATATTTTTTATGTCAAATCTTGATAAGTAACTATAGAAATTATAACTGTGAGATACATGTAGTGCAGTACAATATTTCCCAATGAAATGTCACAGAGTAGAAGTGGCAATAAATAATTAATAGTAAAGTAAATAATACACCACAAAATATTATTGCCACCTGTAAGTGACATAATAGAAAAATATGGCTCTGAAATAAAGAAACAAAAGTGAACTCACATAGCTTGAGTTGACCATTTGGTTTAAATCCACTGCAGCATTCAAGATGTTCATCTCCTCCATGTTGTCTATAGTGGCCAGGTCTGTGTATTTCTCTCTGCAGTAGCTCCGAGCTTCTTTCATGTTCTTTTCCTCATAAACAAAATGGTACTGACGAGCAGCATGTGATGACACCGCACACAGTGCTGTAGTGACAGACATACATTAGATTTGGCTTAAAAATAACTTATATAATATACAATGGTTTGACTTTGTAAAATTACATTTCAGTGTATTCGGGGGTGGCATTGTTTAGGCAGTAAAAGCTCTTCCAATATGGCTGTCATGAAAATAAAATAACTTACTAATGCCAATTATTATTTCATATTCTGTTAGACTTCACATCAATTAAAGGAAAATGTTTATATTGCCAAAGTAATAATGTTTAAAGTTGTCACAATGCTGTATACATTCTAATCACAAAGAATACATGATATTAAAACAGGGAAAATCAATAACTAAATAAGAAACACTTGCCTGACGCAGCTATGATGCTCAGAAGAGCTTTTTCCATCGCTGTATCTTCCAGGTTCCTCTCTTTTAGTCTGTGACTGTGACTGTAGGCAAATACTAATGATGAAGCTAATCCTCTCCCTCAATTAAAAAAAAAAAATATAAATACAATTAACAAAATCAATTAAAGCTGGTACAGAGTTTAAAATGTTTCGAGATTATGGATTTAAAATGACCAAGAAGTAATTTTGCTTTGTAGAGATATCCAGGTCGATGGTGCAAAGTTGTCAAAAGAAATGATGAACTGGAGGGACATGGAACATAAGCCAGTTAGTCCTGGTGTAATGTTGTCCAGTGGACCAAACTAACATTGAAGTTATATGAAGGCAGCTCTCTCCAGTAAGGGCCGCACATTAACAAATATGATGCAAATCAGGTTTCTCAGGAATTCTCAGGAAGAAAGAAAGAAAGAGAGAGAGAGAGAGAAAGAGAGAGAGAGAGAGAGAGAGACAGAGAGAGAGCCACCCAACTCATCAGTACTACAGGATGAAATGATGAGTGTTACAAGCATCACCAACATCAATGAACCTGAGAATATCTATCTATCTATCTATCTATCTATCTATCTATCTATCTATCTATCTATCTATCTATCTATCAAGTTTCTTGTATGTTGTGTATGTTGTTTTGCTCCTTTCTTCCTTTATCAATAAAGCACAAGAAAAAAATAATACTCGTCAGCGCACCGGTCGACGCATGCGCTCAACGTTCACTTCCTGTTTCCTGACAGCTGCACAACAACATGAGAAACTAAACAGATTTCCTGTATTTGCTTCATTCCTTTGATTTTTGTCAAATATTCTGTCTGTCTCCGGGTCTCTCTCCGGGTCTGTCTCCGGGTCTCTTCATGCGCGCTCCCGGGTGTGTGGCGCTGTTGGTCTGGCTGCTTAACGATGCGGCGGCTCGTCAGTTCACTGAGGAGGAGATGGCTGGTATCAGGTACACACACACACACACACACACACACACACACACACACACACACACACACACACACCCTATGATGAGTCAAATTGAGGGTTGCTAATCCCAGACCTCCACTGATAAATTTTCAAATTTCAGTGTTGGAAGAAGACGCGGGACCTGCAGGTACTGAAAAGTCACAATGGACACATCAAGATGTTTAGCAACAAATATAATTAATTCATTGATATATCTATATAATTCAGGGAAGTACTCAAAAAGAATGTGATATATAAACGTCAGTAAATTCATGTACTTACTGGCTACTGCCCTACTGGTTTCAACGTTTAACATTTCTTTCTATGTGATATTCAAAAGGTTTTTTAAATGTAGAGTGAAAGAAATCAAACCTTCTCCTGAAAGTAAGAAGCATCGATTGATTGGTCAATGGACAGAAAATCAATTGGTGACTGATAGAAACATATGTTTCAGTCATTATTTAGACAAAACTGCTGAACACTCTCTGGGTCCAGCTCTTTAAATGTGAGGATTAACTGAATAAGTTCTGGGTCTGGACCGTTGGTCACCTCCGGCTCTGGGACATTGTTACAGGCGTTTAATTACTGTTTTTTGACATTTATTAGACAATATGATTATTCAAGACAATAACTGACTGATTAATGAAATAATCGAAAGATAATGTAAAGAGTCATTACTTGCTAGTTTGTGAGTTTGTCCCTTTAAAAATGAACTACAATTCAATTTGTTACTGAAAGTGACAGAATAACCAAAGTTAGTAGTGAGCAACGACCATCTGAACAGGCCAGCACACTGATAACACAACACACAAACAAGTGAAAAACATGGATGGTCCAGATTTAGAAGGAGGGGGAAGCATGCAGTTTTTATCTGTCGTCATCTTTCATTTGACTGAGTGAACAAATGCCCTTAAAGGTCAAAGGTGATGACTGAACCACGCTGTAACCTGCTCCACGTTTCAGACAGCGCATCAAGTCCATGTTCTACCACGCTTACAACAGTTACCTCGACAACGCCTTCCCCTACGACGAGCTCCGCCCACTCACCTGTGACGGACAAGACACCTGGGGCAGGTAAGGTGACATCCAAGAGGCCAAAGTAGTAGATTTCTAAATAAGGCATCCTTCAAATTATTTTATTGTGAAATTGATGGACATGCTTGAATCTTTTGTAATCAGCAACCTAAGAGCTTTTTTTCCTTTCTACCCATATTTATACTTATATTTTAACTTTATATTTTAACCCCCCCCCCCCTCTTTGTCCACAGTTTCTCACTCACTCTGATTGATGCTCTTGACACTCTACTGGTAAGATCTGAAAACGATATTTGAAAATTTCCTGCGTGAATACAGAGTTATTTTACACTGCAAACACCTTCAAGCAAATTCTCTCTAAACAGCGGGTCAGTAAAAGAGTCATGCTGTGTTCAGGTGTGATGAAGCTTTCAGCAGAGTGACAGAAGCCATTATCATGAGATTAATTTGAAATTTAAATGTATCTCTGAAGGTTTTGGGAAACCATACAGAGTTTAAGCGAGTGGCGTCGCTCCTCCAAGACACCGTGGACTTCGACATTGACGTCAACGCGTCAGTGTTTGAAACCAACATCAGAGGTACAGAGGGGGAATGAAATTTCTGACTCTGACTAGAATATTATATCTACACTGAATAGTGAAACTGTTGTGTGTTGTGTGTGTGTTGTGTGTGTGTTGTGTGTGGTGTGTGTGTGTGTGTGTGTGTGTGTGTGTGTGTGTGTGTGTGTGTGTGTGTGTGTGTGTGTGTGTGTAGTGGTGGGTGGTCTGCTGTCAGCCCACCTGTTGGCAGGGAGAGCGGGGATGGAGCTGGAACCTGGTTGGCCCTGTTCAGGACCGCTGCTGAGGATGGCTGAGGATGCCGCCAGGAAGCTGCTGCCTGGTATTAAAACACACACACACACACACACACACAGAGGTTACAGTGTGTACAGTAAATGTCACTAAAGGCCACATTTAGGATTCAGTTTGACAGTTTAATGTGAAGTCAAATTTCAAACTCCTTTTTAGCTAATTCAAACTGCTGGTGTAAACGAATGTCTGTATATCCATTACTGCTACTGGTTTGACACTTGACCCCAGCAGGAGAAATCACAGGCACGCGTCTCTGTGTGCTGACCTCATAAGAGGTAGGACAGACAGAAAGTAGGTGTAGTGCTCTCACTTTTATAGAGCAAAGAAACATCCTCATTTCTACTACCTGTCAGTGTCAGTCAAACAGCCTCTAAAGGTACAAGTATACACATAGAAACAGGAAACAAAATTAACTTCCAGCTCTTCTGATAATCGGTTCATTCTGAGAGTTTTCAAGTGCAAGTGAAAACTTTCCAGAAGTGAGAATTTGCTGTTTTTCGCTGTTTTATATCAGAAACAACTTTCACATGCAAAGAATTTTGTTTCTTGTGACTCTCAATGTGCACATGCAAGTAGGTGAAAAAAACATAGATGCATATATAAATACATGTAAAAAGTAGAATTACCTCCTCATGGCTGCATGCCTCTGCCACTGACTAGTTTCAGTTTACATCCCTGTTTATCCAGTCATATAAAATATTAACCATTTGATGTATCATTGTAAATTAAATCACTTTTAAATCAATTTGAAGATGACACTTTGGGCTTTAGTGATTGTTGATGGGCTATTTGTCAAGTTTCAATGATTAATGGATGAACTGAAGAAATAATTGATGCCTCAATCAATTGTTGAAATACAACAATATCACCTTAAAATCCTGTCTTGTGTACTGTAGCTGCTCAGATGTAACTCGTATAAATGGTTTCAGCGTTTCAGACTCCCACCGGCATGCCATACGGTACTGTCAACCTGCTGCACGGCGTCAGCCCCACCGAGACCCCCGTCACCTGCACTGCCGGCGTGGGAACCTTCATCCTGGAGTTTGCCACGCTGAGTCGACTAACTGGAGACACAATATTCGAGAACGTAGCCCGCCGAGCCCTGAGGGCGCTGTGGAAGACCCGATCTGACATTGGACTGGTAACTAGACCACCTGTCTGTCTCTTTTTAGTCCAGTAACCGTTTTAACTGTGGGGGAAAGCCTATAAACACCATTAAAGGTCCTTAAATACTTTGAGTTAGTAAAAGTTCTGATTTTTTATTTATTTATTAATTGCTAAATTAATTCAATCACATAAAAAACACCAGTGCTGTGTGTTTAAAAATATACATTTTGGCTGAGAGGACTAAGTGTCTAAACTCTGAGGCTGAAAAGTGAAGTCAGCACTGAAGTACCAAAAACTGCAGTTCCTCTAATGACCACTAGAGTCTGGCTCCAACAGTGAGTCAATCCCCATAGACTCCCATGTTAAAATGTCCAACTTTATAGCAGAAATAAACAGTCTGGTACAAAAAACAGTTTTAGTCTCTATATCTAATTTCCTCCTTCATGACAACTGTACAGGGGGTGAACTTTTATATAACTCGCCTGTTTACATTTCATTAAGGCTTAAAGTTATGTATAATTGAGGGCATGGCCTCTTTAAGTGACAGGTGGGTGAGCGTATGCTTGCCACAAACCGACATGCACTTAAGTCTCACTCTGAGCTTCAAAACCGCTCTTCAGAAACCTGTGGGTGACGTCACGGAGGCTACATCCATCTTTATTTACAGTCTACTGTCTGAACCTGTAATGAGACACTAGGATGATTAGTTAGTTAAAGATTGACATTGACTTCAAGGTCTATTAGTTCATGAAACAGTAGGTAATGCTTGATGTTGTTGTAAGCACAACTACTGTTCATAGATACTGTTCAACATAATCTGATGATCTGAACTGATGTTAAAGCCAAAAGGTGATAATTGTTCATTTCAGCTGCTCTGTCAAAAACCATAACAATAAAGATCAAATCTATGTGGTCTCTCTCTCACCTGTCTGTGTATGTACCTGTCTGTCTGTCCAGGTGGGGAACCACATTGACATCGTGTCCAAGAAGTGGGTGGCTCAGGACGCCGGCATCGGAGCAGGAGTCGACTCTTACTTTGAGTATCTGGTGAAAGGAGCCATCATGCTGCAGGATGAGGAGCTGCTCAACATGTTCCTGGGTAATCCTCACAACTCTTCCACCTTTTCCCTCTGGTGCCTTTGAGCAAGGCAGCCTACACCTACATCCTGAAAACAGACAGATGAAGAAATGTTCTTCTTTTTCCCAGAGTATGATCGAGCCATTCAGAACTACACTCGGTTTGATGATTGGTACTTGTGGGTGCAGATGCATAAAGGAACCGTCTCCATGCCGGTCTTCCAGTCTCTGGAGGCCTTCTGGCCCGGCCTGCAGGTACATACATAATACTGAACACACAGTCTTCTCCTAACTTAAGGCTGCTCACAGATCTTTCACTTAGTTTCATGACACTTTGTAATCATAAGTGCTACCGTCCATTGTGTTTCAGTCTTTGTTGGGGAACCTGGACAGTGCCGTGAGAACTTTCCAGAACTATTACTCAGTGTGGAGACAGTTTGGAGGTCTGCCTGAGTTTTACAGCATCCCTCAGGGTTACACTGTGGACAAGAGAGAGGGATACCCACTGAGACCAGGTCAGTCCACCAAGTGACCCACCAGCTTATTAACTATTTCATTTCAAAGTAGCCGGTTACATAGTCTTCAAAATACTGTAGGGTCATAGATTTTTTTTAAATGACTAGATTAGTTGATTGAATGTAGACATCCCTCAGATAGTAGCCGTGTCCCAGTTCAGGGGCTGGATCCTTCAGATGCTGCATTTGAAGACTGATTGTATCACAGTGGTGCGACTAGACTGCCTCATTTTGAAGGCTTCTTCAAATGCGGACAAGAAATGCATCCCTCTTTTCCTGGGCAACAAAGGCTCCAAGGGGTGGATCCTTCATGGCCCGACATATCTCAACAACACCAACAGAGAGCCTGAGAATTTATAATAAATTTAAATGTAAGTAGTGGGTTTCAGCCCAGGTGAACAGCTAACAGTGTAACTGTTAAAACTAAGGGCCTTAAAATCTCAAGTTTTTGTGAAAAAAGTTACGTGTTGTCAAGGTTGCTAGGCGACAGGAAACGCGCTTCGCAACGCAACAGTAAGGGTGGGCTCAGCTGGTAACACAAAGAGGAAATCCTCCGTAGATCAAGATGTCTCATTTCGGTTCGGCCTTCGCAGTCTACAACTACTGCATCGTCTGGAGGATGCGGCCCCTGACTTGGGACACAGCTAACTTCTCCTGTATGATTGTGAATCACGTAGAACAAGGTGTGTCTTGTGATCTTGTGCCCGTTAAACTGTCTGTGTATCTATAAAAATTAAGATGCTGTTGTTATTTTCCACCTATGACTAATGCATCTTTCCCATGAAAACACAACACAACAACTGATTGACCAAAACCCTAATGACTGATAAGACAAAAGGGAATATAAAATATAAGCATACTTAGACATAATGCTAAAAGTTAAATTAAATTGTTTCAATTTAACAGAATTTACTTAAGACCTTTGTGATGGGAGCTTTTATTTTGAAAGTAAGGAAAAGGTTGCCATGTGCAGATGAATTAACCAGCTAACTAATCATTTACCAGCTCCCTGGCTGTCTGGTGAACTGCTGTGAACTGACTTTTATTTCTCCAGAGTTAATAGAGAGCGCCATGTACCTGTTCAGAGCGACAGGTGACCACATCTACCTGCAGCTGGGCCTCGACGCTCTGGAGTCCATAGAGAAGATCGCCAAGACGCCCTGTGGATATGCCAGTGTAAGTTTGGCAGTCTGTCTGCAGATCACAGGCTTAGACAAAAGGGACAACACACACACACGCACACACGCACACACACAAAGAACAAACAAACAAAATGCACCTCTCACTAAGAAAGAGTAGATCCATGTGTCTGATTTAGATCTGCTCTGTTTATCAGACTATTCTAACATTTTTTAAATTAAAATTTCTAAAGAATAATGACGAAAATATGTGCTGAATTTTACAATCGTTAGCGCTCTCTGCTGGACAAACCATGTAACGGAGACATTGTTTCTAAATTACCTTCTTGTTACTTATTACATGTCAGGCCAATGCTGACAGCTGCGCTAAGCTAATGTCAGTTTATCAGTCAAGCTCTACTACCATTCACTTACACCACACTATCCTGATACTATTACTTCCTGATTACAACTAGTCTCCTTCTATAAGTTTCTCTATATATGTCCTCTATATTGCTGGCTGCTTCACTGAATCACATGTTCTTGCTGCTGTTCCTCCTCCTGCAGGTGAAAGACCTGCGAGACCACCAGCTGGACAACAGGATGGAGTCCTTCTTCCTCGCTGAAACCATCAAGTACCTTTACCTGCTCTTTGACCCCACCCACTTCCTGCATGGCGGGGGGACGGAGGGGGATGGGTCTTGGGAGGAGGGCGGCGAGGGTGGTCAGTGTGTTTTAGGTGCGGGGGGGTTCATCTTCAACACGGAGGCTCACCCTCTCGACCCGGCGGCGCTCTATTGCTGCAGCCGCCATGCTCAGGACCGACAGGACCTCAGAGACATCCTGCTCAGCCTGTCACAGCCCACGCAAAAGTCCGACCACCATTCAGCCCCGCCCACCAAAGAGACAGAAGGCCCTCCCCCTGGCCAATCAGAGAGCATCGCTCTGAAACCGGGTGAGAAGAAGACACCCCCCCTACTGTCCTGTCCTGTTCAGCCGTTCAGCGCTCGACTTTCCATCCTGGGACAAGTTTTCAGCGATAACACCTGATCCTCTCCGTCCTGGTCCACGTTAAATACTAACGTTTGATATCTGGGCTTCAGCAACTGATTTGATTGGTTGCTTTTTGAGCACCGGAGTGATGGCGGCAGACACGTTTCCTTTCTCACTGTTTTTCTTGTCACTTTTTTGCTGTCACGTGAAAAAGATGTCAGCTTTCAGTGAAGAGGAATATTTTACTGTCAGCCACCAGGACATTTAGAAATCTCAGCTGAAGATTTCCAAACCTGTTCAAGTCCAGTTCAGGGGAAATAAAATCATTCCTAAATATATTCACCACCATCCTTAAGATGTTTCTGTTGTGATGAAGGGATTCAGGACCAGTGAGCCGAGAACTCGACTCTGTTGACTGCATTGCTCTAATTTAAATTGAAGGTGAAATATATTTTTATTTATTACAAATGTTGTGGTGGCCGTCTGTTTTCATTTGTCCTATTCTTATTGTGTAACTCTTCATAGTGAAGACTGAAGAAAAATCTGTGAAAATAAAATGTTTAAAGTAGAAAAATCTACTTCAAACTCCAGCCCTGAAGTGCTATCCTGTGTTTCTGGAGCATTTTTAATGTCCATCACTTGTTCATCTCCCAGAAGGATGGAAGCCCTGAGAGGCAGGGTTTAAAAAAATGTATTTTTGTTTTTTTCATCTGTATAAACAACCCCCAGGAGGCAAGTTTTTTTTTTTTTTTTTCTGGGAAGAAAGACAGAAAAAAAACTGATCCTTGCACAAAATATTTTTTTCACTTCTCTCTCAGGGCTTCTGTACAGAACAGAATTTTAAATTATAATTTTATAATGCACACACTAACGTGTTTAATACAAGACCATCATTATGTCAGTATGTTGTGTTTGTGTTTGTCTGTAGGCTGGAGGTGTGATTGTTTGGAGCTGCCACAAGGAGGCAGTGTAAGAGCAGCAATAAGTCTATCCATCATCACATGAATCTGGTCCTCAACCGGGGGTCAGGGTCCTGCAGGGACCTCTAGAGATAATTTTAGGGGGATTGTGAGATGGCATATAAAACAAAAACATTTCATATTCATTCATTGCACTAAATAATTTCCCTTTTTCTTTTTAACGTGCAAGACTAAATAGTTCAAAGCTTGTCTCCAAGTATAATACCTTATTTTCTTTCCTTATAATTCTACATATGCAGCCTTTGTCTACTGATGCAAGTAATACAATAATTATTGTAAGATGATGTAAAAGTTACATCTTCTGCAAAAGGACGCAATGAGAAAAGTGATCAACTCACATTTAGGAGCCAGAAAAGTCAAGTAGCTGTGTAGATGAGGACATCAGCATCTGTTCTGTTTCTATAAAGATGAGGATAAAAGGGTGAAAAGCAGTATTAACTTCTGTGTTAATTTCAGTGAGGGGTTTCTATTGGTGTGCATCCATCTCTCCAGCTCTTCTTCAGAACCACTGGTTTTAATTACAGACTGATTTACAACCACGCAGTTTCATTGTGGAGATAAATGAGTCAAGTCATTCACCCTATAAATGCTCACAAACAGAAACAACAGAGACATGAAAAGATAGTGTCCTAATGTCTCCTCGTGTCACTGAGCTCCACTACCTGGCAGTGATTGTCTTATACTGTTTAATAGATAGATAGATAGATAGATACTTTATTTATCCTCTAGGGGAAATTCATGCCTCACTATGCTCCAAACAAAGTGTTTATCAGATGGTCTAACAGTTCCTGAAACCCTAATTTTGTTGGTGGAATCGAGTCTGACCTTTTCGTTTGTAGCTTTCCACGCTCAGGTCCATTTATACAGTGATTGATGAAGTGTGTGGAGGTGAGAAAGTAGGTTTAGATTTCTTGTTTTTCTGTCACTGCACAACCGAGTGCAGAGACCATGAATGTCTTAGAGGGGGGACACACTTGTACGAGTCATGGTGTCAAGACCACAAAATCATTAATAGATGCAAGTCACGACAGTGTGCTTAGATCTGTGATCAGCTGTTGTTGGTTGACAAGCCAGAAATCCTACAGTTTTCGTGCTGACACTAACGAGGCTTGCCTAATTAATGTTCACAGCCTGTAGCTCCAACCTGAAAAAGATATGAAATATTGATTAGTGATTGTTGTCACACAGTGAAATAACAGCTGGAAAAAACTGACGTTTACACCTGATTTTTTCACAAACTATTTACTTGATCCAAATCCTGGAGCTCCTGATGCAGAACAGCTCCAACCTGAAGTGGATTTAACAGGGTGATGTGTCTTTTCACTCACAGACAAAACAGCAATAGGTAACTATAGCAACAGTCCACACACTGATAATAATACTATAACTGAAGTAAAGGACAAGCACGTCAAACATATACACATGGACTTTAATATTGTTGAATGATGATGTCATTAAAGTCAGATTTGTTATGACGTCAATTAATTGTATGTTTTAATCTGCAGCTTGTGTACCCGTTTTGAAAAGTGCTGTATCACTAAATAGGTATAATTACTTAGATCGTATGTTAACAACAAAAACTTGCTCTCTGAGGTGTAAAAGTGACCGTTTCTGTCACTGGAGTTCAGTGTGGAGGAAACTCGACTGGATTAGTTCTGACTCTGGTTCTGTTTGTCATTTAGCTTCAGCAGAAATCCCCTCCTCTGTCATTCAGGGTGGGACTGCCTCTCCTCTCCTCTCTCCTCCTCCTTTCTTCCCTCCCTTCCTTTTCATCTATCTCACCCCCCCTCGTCCTCCTTCCATTTTATTCCCCTCTCCTCTTATTCGTTCCATCTTTTCTTCCCTTGACATCCCCCCCCCCCCCCTCTTTGTTTGGGTGGGGTTCCTCTGTTTTATTTGACCTTTTCATTGCCTCTCCATCACTCATCCTTCCTCTGTATCCCCTTCCCTCCCTCCATCCATCAATTCTCTTTGGTCTCTTTAAAATGTTTATTGTTTCTTTTTCCTCACTATCTCTCCCTCAGTCTCTCTTTTTCCTCTCATTCCTGGTTTTTCATTTCATTTTTCGGCTTTCTATTTTACCCCCAAACCCTCAACTTCTTCCTCATTCTCTGCTTTTCTTTTGTCCACCCCTCCTCTATCCCTCTTCTCCAATTCTCTTTTCTTCATCTTTCTTCCTCTTCTTCATTTTCTTTCCTTTCTTCTTTGTCTATCTTTTTTTTTTACCTTTTTCCATCACGTCCTTCTCTATCCCCCTTTCATTTTTTCCTCTCTCCTACAGTAAAACAAACACCAGTCTCTCTTTTCTATCATTCATTTTGGTCTTTGTCTCTGTTCCTGTCTTGTGCTATTATTTTTCTTCACTCCTTTTCTTCCATACTTTTCCTCATGCTCTCTTTTACTCTCACTGTTGCCATCTTCCTTCTTTCCTTCATCACAAAACTCCTTCATCAATCTTATAAAATAACATACTTCTTTCTCTTTTCCTTCCTTCATAGCTTCTTCTCTGGTTCCTCCTGCTATTTCCCTCATTTTCTTCTTCTTCCTTTCCTTCCTTCCTTCCTTCCTCTTCCCCCCTCCTCTTAGGGTGGGTCTCTGGATCTGTCTGTATTGATGACTGAATCATGACTAACTGCTGTGAGTGTTTATACTTGAGTTTATTCCAAACAAGTCTTTAAAACAGATTAGAAAAATTCATACCTCATCATCCTCTCTCCACTCAACTTGATTCTTCTCTGTCTCTATTATCACCGTTTATCAGGCAGCCTCTTTTTTAAAAAAAATCATTTTAACCTGTTTTATTATCAGAACATTTAAACTTGTTAAACTTTTTTACTAATGACAAATTTTAACTCCTGTCATCAAGTATGGTGCACACACTTCAACTGCTTTCAGTCTCCACACTTTCACTTTCACTAACAACTGCTTTTATTGCTTTTCTTCTTCTTTACTGTCAGTTCAACTTCTTTTGACTGAAATAATTTAACTAAACTCTTTACAGTGCACACACTTTTTTTTTAATTTTTTTAAACTTTTATCTCTTAGTCTTCAAACGACAGTTCAGCTGCTTTCAGCTCTTACTCTTCAGCTACCTTCGGCACCTGAGACCTCACCTTCTAACTGAACTTAAACTTTAATTTCACATGCTTTCAGCACTAATTTCAACATTTTCAAGGCAGTGTTTACCTTTCAGCTAACACTTTAATTGATGTCAGTACTTAAAGTACAAATCAACTGACACTTCAAGTGCTTGCAGTGCATGCTTGACTGACTCCAACTCTTCTACTTTGAACTACTTACTTGAAATTTAAGTGATTTTATACCAAGTAATACTACAAGTGCATACACTTCTTCCACTTCACCTGAAATCTCAACTTTCTTTTTTTAATTTGCAAGTGTCTTCTTAACGGTTCTCAGCACTTCAACTACTTTCACTTCAGCCGTTTCGAAACAGCTTTTTTCATTTTCAGTTGAAATGCAACTTAAATATCAACTGTCTCATTTCAGACATAATATAATAGCTCAGACATAGAACAAGATTTCAGCCACTTTTGGATGTAAGCACTGACATTAGTGCTTACATCCAAACTGACAAGTATTCCAGTACTGAAACCTCAGACCTCACACTTCAACACTACAACTCCTTTATGTGCTTCAGTATAAATCATAACTTCCATACAACACTTCACAGAAACAAAAATAACATTTTAAGACATTTTACAGTGTTAACACCTGCTATTTCCAGCATAAGCAAATCCACTTTTCTAGTCCTACAGCACCTTTCATCTTTATCATGTGTTTGGATTAATGTTTATTTAACATTCTTCTATTTTTCAGTTTTCTGTCTCTACATCTCTATCTAAACATTTATATTTGACAAGTTTTATTCAAACTAAGCCTCTTGTGTGTTGGCTCAAGAGTTTCTCTGCTCTCCACACTCTCGACAATAATAACAGTAAGAGAAACATGTGGTGACGCAATCGGCCTCAGCTGCTCTGTTTCCTGTAGGAGTGAAGTCAGTCAGAGGGGATTTACTGCAGCTCAGCACCAACACATCAGTTTTAACTGTCTCAGACTTTTTTTAATCTCCTCCTGGAGGTTAAGGGTCCCATGAGAAACACTTTTAGATTCCTTTAGATGAGTTCAAAGGTAAGTTTAAAAGTCCACCTGGTGTCAGCAACAGCTCCATGACACCAACTGTACACCCACCATCCGAGCCATGTTGCAGCTGCAGGTGCTTAGTTTTTTTTTTTTTTTTTGGACAGAAGCAGGCTAGTTGATTCCTCCTGCTTACAATCTTTATGCTAAGCTAAGATAACCACAGCTGCTACAGCTGTGTACTGAACACGCAGACATGAGACTGATATCCCTCTGAACATTTCATTCTTAATAACCAAAAAAAAGCATTTCCTTAAATATTTAACTGTTCCTTTAAGATGCAAATAATTTAAGTGTGGAAGGACGTGAAATGAGACGTTCTCCGAGTGTCATTAGAGGAGACCTCACTTAATGATGCTTATTTGACTTTTACAGCATATTCAACTCTGGATTCTTTTAAGAAACCTGTTCATATATGGTGAATTAAGAGCTTCCACCAGGTGTGTCTAAGACTTTTAAAATCC